GAAAGCAAAATCTAAAGTCAAGGCAAAGGCAGCAGGTAAAGCCAAGGCTGCTGCCAGCAAAGCTCCTGGGGTTACTTCTTCGCCAATGAAAGCTCAAAAGGCAAAAGCCAAGAGCACAATGAAGAAAATCCTGACAAGACCTGATGCAGCTGAAGGCGAAAGCCAAGGCCAAAGCGAAGACTGTCAAGGAGATGGCAGCAGGATGGAAGAAGACCAGGGATGAGCCAGTTCCTGATGACCATGCAGAAGGAGAAGATGAGGAGCCTAAAGAGGAGGATGCAACAGTTGCTGATGATGAGCATCGAAGCTACCCCAAGGTAAGGAAATGTGCCAGAATGATCAAAAGGGGCCAGGTGCCAGAAGATCTTCAGCAGCTCTATGAAGAAGAGGGCTCCAAGAATTCTCTTGAACACCAGAGGCGAGTCTGTGTTTGCTCCTGGAAATACCCAGTGTTCGAAGTTTTCAAGAAGAACTCTGAGATTTGCAGCAAATCTCAGATTACTGGGTTGGCTTAGGTTGTGGACAAAATCCAGGGAAACCAGCAAGCTTTGAATGATGCAGAAAGACGAGGTGATGTCTATCAGAAAGATGGTTACTATCATGTCAAGACAATAGCCACAGCCATTGTGCCCTGCCATGGTCTTGCATGGTGGCCAAGCCAACCTCACCAAGGATGAGAGTTCGCAGGTGAGCCAATTCATGTCGAGCAGGCCCTGGAGCCAGTTTGGCACTGGAGCTAGTTGTGGTGGTAGTGGTGGTTGTGGTAGTGGTAGCAGTGCTTCCTCTACACCAGCTGTGGTTACTTCATCCTCAGCATTGCCAAAAGCGATTTCTGATGCTCCTGTTAAACTGAGCTGGGCAAGTGTGCAGCATGACATCAAAGAAACCAAAGTGGTTCAGGAGCGACTGGGTAGAGACAAGAAAGACCAAAAATCAATGATACTTTGAAGGATGCCTTCACTGAGCTTTCAAAGACAGAATGCATGCTTGGACAATGCTTCATTGCCAAGTATGACTGGTTATTATTGCCACAATCTTGTTTCATGCCTTTTCTGACTTTTCCTCATTTTTGCTATGCTGTTGTTTCATAAATTTTGTCAGTGACACAAACACTACCCATGATCAAATCATTTGATCCAATCCAAGCGCCAAGGGAATGCCTTTTCTGACTTTTCCTCATTTTTGCTATGCTGTTGTTTCATAAATTTTGTCAGTGACACAAACACTACCCATGATCAAATCATTTGATCCAATCCAAGCGCCAAGGGAAAAACATGAGACCCTGTCAGAATACATGAAGTAAACCCATACATATAGTAACCCCAAGAGAACATCAGACACATACCATATAACAAAAGAAAATAATAAATATATGTAAAAACGAAGTGAAAAAAAATAACCCTTAAAAGTTACCTTGAAATAGGTTATCAATAATTAATAATAATTACCTTTCAAGGTAATTTTTTTTACCTATTAGTTAAAAAAAATCGACCAAAATTACTTACAAAAAGGTAATTTTTTTAGAGTTACCTATTTTGCTCCAAATAACCTTGCCTGACCTATTGGGTTTCATCGCCGGCTGCAGCCACTTTACACGGAGAAACACAAGGTTTCGTGCTCCAGCTTCCTCCCCAAAACATAGCCCATGCAACATTCATGCAGCCATTACAATGCGTTTCGCAGCCCACAGCTTCAAGAAACGCATAGAACTACGCACACAGGAACAACCACTCGTTGCAAAACACATAGGAGGAACAATTCGCGACAGAAACGACCCCAGCCGCACCCGTCGCACAGACGAGGTACCTTTCATCGCCGGCTGCAGCCACTTTACACGGAAAAACACCAGGTTTCGTGCTCCAGCTTCCTCCCCAAAACATAGCCCATGCAACATTCATGCAGCCATTACAATGCATTTCGCAGCCCACAGCTTCAAGAAACGCATAGAACTACGCACACAGGAACAACCACTCGTTGCAAAACACATAGGAGGAACAATTCGCGACAGAAACGACCCCAGCCGCACCCGTCGCACAGACGAGCTACCTTTCATCGTCGCCTGCAGCCACTTTACACGGAAAAACACAAGGTTTCGTGCTCCAGCTTCCTCCCCAAAACATAGCCCATGCAACATTCATGCAGCCATTACAATGCGTTTCGCAGCCCACAGCTTCAAGAAACGCATAGAACTACGCACGCAGGAACAACCACTCGTTGCAAAACACATAGGAGGAACAATTCGCGACAGAAACGACCCCAGCCGCACCCGTCGCACAGACGAGCTACCTTTCATCGCCGGCTGCAGCCACTTTACGCGGAAAAACACAAGGTTTCGTGCTCCAGCTTCCTCCCCAAAACATAGCCCATGCAACATTCATGCAGCCATTACAATGCGTTTCGCAGCCCACAGCTTCAAGAAACGCATAGAACTACGCACACAGGAACAACCACTCTTTGCAAAACACATAGGAGGAACAATTCGCGACAGAAACGACCCCAGCCGCACCCGTCGCACAGACGAGGTACCTTTCATCGCCGGCTGCAGCCACTTTACACGGAAAAACACAAGGTTTCGTGCTCCGGCTTCCTCCCCAAAACATAACCCATGCAACATTCATGCAGCCATTCCAATGCGATCTGCAACCACAGCTTCAAGAACCGCATAGAACTACGCACACAGGAACAACCACTCGTTGCAAAACACATAGGAGGAACAATTCGCGACAGAAACGACCCCAGCCGCACCCGCCGCACAGACGAGGTACTTTTCATCGCCGGCTGCAGCCACTTTACACGGAAAAACACAAGGTTTCGTGCTCCGGCTTCCTCCCCAAAACATAGCCCATGCAACATTTATGCAACAGAAGGTCATCACTTCCCTGTTTCACCACTTCCCTTCGTCACCACTTCCCTTCTCCACCACTTCCCTTCCTCACTACCTCCCTTCATCACCACTCCCCTTCTTCACCACTTCCCTTCTTCACCACTTCCCTTCCTCACCACTTCCCTTCGTCACCACTCCCCTTCATCATCACTTCCCTTCGTCACCACTTCCCTACCTCACCACTTCCCTTCATCATCACTTCCCTTCGTCACCGCTTCCCTTCGTCACCACTCCCCTTCATCATCACTTCCCTTCGTCACCACTCCCCTTCCTCACCACTCCCCTTCATCATCACTTCCCTTCGTCACCACTTCCCTTCGTCACCACTTCCCTTCCTCACCACTTCCCTTCGTCACCACTTCCCTTCGTCACCACTTCCCTTCGTCACCACTTCCCTTCGTCACCACTTCCCTTCGTCACCACTTCCCTTCCTCACCACTTCCCTTCGTCACCACTCCCCTTCATCATCACTTCCCTTCTTCACCACTTCCCTTCTTCACCACTTCCCTTCGTCACCACTCCCCTTCATCATCACTTCCCTTCTTCACCACTTCCCTTCATCATCACTTCCCTTCTTCACCACTTCCCTTCCTCACCACTTCCCTTCGTCACCACTCCCCTTTCATCATCACTTCCCTTCTTCACCACTTCCCTTCGTCACCACTCCCCTTCATCATCACTTCCCTTCGTCACCACTTCCCTTCTTCACCACTTCCCTTCGTCACCACTTTCCCTTCCCTTCGTCACCACTTCCCTTCGTCACCACTCCCCTTCATCATCACTTCCCTTCGTCACCACTTCCCTTCTTCACCACTTCCCTTCGTCACCACTTCCCTTCGTCACCACTTCCCTTCGTCACCACCCGTCATTATCACCACCCTTCATCAAAGTCAATTCCACTGCTTCTTATTCTTTTGTTATGTTGTTATGTTATGTATTGTTAGATGACCTACCACCCTTCATCATTTCAAGTCGCAGAATTCTATTTGTCCGTAACACGGAAGTATTGCTTCCCAACTTCCTTTGATAAGTCCAATAACTATGGTTATAGGTGATATATCAGGTCTCGGCCCAAATCCTACCAGCTGGTGGACCTGTCAGCTGAAGTTTGGGAGATCGTTTTACATTTGCCATGGACACCTGTGTGGGTCACATGCTTGTTTCCCCAAACTGCATAGCTGCTTGATGGCTTCAACAGCATGCTTGACAGGACTGTTGTTTATCCTCTTGGCATGAGGACTTTGTGTCTAGACTAGGAACCTGGATTTGTCGAAAAAGGTCATTCCCAACCATTTTTTTAGGCTGAGGATATGGACAGTTTGATCCTCTGTTCTGCAAGTGTTGGTGGAAATTGGTGGATTCCGTTTATCCTGCGGCTTTGGAAATATTGACGTTTGGGTTTGCTCTGGGCCGGTCTTCGGCCGTGGGCATTGCCCGCTGTCATTTTTCCCTTGCCACGCTGACAGGCTATGGGGCATGGACGGAAAAGAAAGGATTTGGAACCTACTTTGCCGGCAGCATGAAGTTGATTGTTGAAATCTTGCACCGCTACGTGGCGGCGGGTGCCCAATGCCCCCTTCAAGTTTCATCGAAAACAATGCACCTTTATGGCTGGGACCCGCATATAGGGCGGCTTTTGCTTCGGTTGACGAAGAGCGCCATTCTTCTCCCCTGTTTTTTGGATAGTCCTGGCTGTTGGCTCTTTTCCGATGAGCCTGTGGGCATCGACCGGTTCATACCTCGATGGCATTGGATACTACCGTTCCCAGCACCATTGACCAGCCGTGATCTTCAAGGGTTTGCCGCGCACAGCCGCCGTTAACCCGTCCGCTATAGGATCTATAGATCATGGGATCATAACGCATTTATAACTGGGGGGCACCACCTTCTATAGTTTAATTACAAGAATCTTACATTATAGGAGCTCTAGAAAGGCGGGATGCCCTATGTCAAAAAAACATGTGAACATGAGCGAAAATGATTTTTCAGAAATCGTGGTTCTTCACCGTAAAAACCAGAGGTGAGCTAAGTTGAAATCACCATTTCCGATACATCTTCTATGAATTGATTCATTTTTCATAGCTATGTTGCAATTACCGGAGGGAACGGGTGTGCCAGGGGGTCCACCTTTCGCGTGACGATGGATTCGCAGCCTTCCAACATGTTGAGAGGTGGGGCTCCCTTTGGGCGGGAAGGTTCTTAAGTCGTGGGAGATCCCCCAGCCATTGGTTTCAATACTACCCTCTGGTAAACGAACATAGCTATGGAAAATCACCATGTATAATAGGCAAATAAACTATAAATGATCATTTTCCATAGCTACGTTAAATTACCAGAGGGTAAGTCATGGTCTAATCACTGGATGATTGTGGGGTACCCCCGATTTGTAGGGAATAGAACCAGTGCCAACTATTCAACCATGTTTGTTGGGTGGAAAATCATCGAACTAATTGGGTTTCAATGATGTCTTATATGGTTGTAATCTATCTGAGCCATGAAAAATGACCCTTTCGGATTCTGTTTTGTGCTGGTTAATAGGGATGCCTCTTTAATGTATTTGATGGATGATGCGAATCCCCGATAAACAGGTTATTTAAGTAGTATAACAGTATAACATAGTATAACCATCATTTTAGGTAATATTTGATGTATTTAATGTATTTAGGTAGTATCGCCCATCAAAACTGGTATTTATATATATATATATATATGTATGTATATATTGAGACTTTCAGTTGGGTGGCTGCCCTGATTTGGGACGACCAACGAAATAGCGGCAACAGCATGTCCAAGGTTATGACTTTAATAGCTACATGATTCGTGACATGATTCACGTTTTATCAGTTTTATCTCCCGCTTCTGTCCTTTTCTTATCTTTTCTTGGGTGTCCACGTGGCGCCATTGGAAATCCCTTTCTGTCTGCATTTTCTGCTCCATTTGGAGCTGCACAATAGCATTTCCTTTGTGGCTCGGTTCCTAGCAGCAATTTCTTCTTTTCGCAAGCTCCCAAAATTCAATCTTAGGTTGTCTGGGGCAATATCTTTTTATTTATTTTGCACCAATTTGATCCTGCCGCTTCAAGTTTCGTTGGTTTCTGTGGCCTAGGTTGCATTTGTGGACGTTTAAGTATCAATCTCGACACTTACCTTCCATAAAGATATGATATGTTTACATGATATTAATATACATATATGATGTGTATATATATTTATATTTATATTTATTTATCATGATCACATATACATATATAATATAATATCATGATCATATATATATATATATATACATATATATCACATGATCATATATGTCTATATATATATACATATCATGATCATAATTTTTTTTTTTTTTTTATATATGACATGATCATAATAAATAAATAAATATACATATATATATATATATGCATATTTATATATATTTACGTATATCTATATATATATAGATACATATATATATATATATATGTATATATATACATATACATATATACGTATATATACATATACACACATATATATACATAAATATATATATATATACACATATACATACACACATATATATATATATTCATATATACATGTATACATATATATATATATTTATACTTATATATATAGTTATATCATTATATATTTATATATTTTTTATCATATAATATAAATATGAATATAAATATAAATATATATATATATATTCTGTGTGATATATATATATATATTTTGTGATACATATAATATTTAATCATATTATTATTTTTTTATTAAATTATAGTATGTTATATTTATGATCATGACATCTTTCATTCGTTCAAAGGAAACTCTTGTGGGCCAGGCTCGGAGGTGTGCAGCAGAAGAGCATCTGGCACAAATCCACAGGCAGCGAATCGTGGGGTTTTACCATGGACAAATTGGTTGTTTCACCATGGAAAATGGTGGTTTAGCCATGAAGAAAAAGGAGAATTCACCAGCAAAAAACTTGAATTTACCGAATAGTGGTTTTACCATGACGAAAGGAGTGCTTAATCATCAAAAAATATGATTTTATCATGAACCCATATTTTACCATGAAAAAGAAATATTTTGCCATGAGCAATGGTGATTTCATCACGAGGAAATTACTGTAGTGATTTTGATAACTGAAACTGGAGATTCAATGGAGCTTTCAAAAATGGGGAACCACAACATCATCCATGTTTTGCTATGTTTCATGGGAAACCCATGGTGATACCCCTGTGTGGCTAAGTCACAGCGCAAGTGATGATTAATGGGAGGAATCGTCTCAAACAACAACTTATTTCTGATTTGAGAACTGACATAACTTTCCCGGATATTTAACCCCAAAGTAGACTTACTAGCTGGATTTCACAGAGAAATCGCTGAGAACTATTGTTTTTGACCCAATGGATCCTGAGTTTCTTTTCCAAGAATCCATCAAATCCAATTCTGTGATAGTTTATGGCTTGATGTGACTCCTGCTGTGTTGGAAACATGCATCAGCAGGGTTCGGTTCCTTTTTTTAAAATCATTTGGGAATTTTCTACTGATTTATGGAAAAACTGGTTTGCCACACGAAGATATTGAAATGTCCAGGCGAAGAGATTGAGAAGTTTCAGTATTCCGCTGATGTGCGCATCAAATGCGGCAAATTCCATGCTTCTGGGATGAGAAATGTGACAAAGATCGGTGGCTCAAAGTGAGGACCATTTTCGGATATGTTTTTTTTTTTCTCGGAGGAAAACACCCAATTCCAATGGATCATTCTTGTTGTTCCCATCAAAATATGACTATTTTTGGGTGGTATCTCCATCTGTAGACGCTCTGTTTTTTGGGGTTTCCCACAGTCTTTTCGAACCTTGGTCACGTGGGGTTTCCATGGTTTCCATGTCTACCCACGAGGCAGAAAATCCAGGTCTTTTGGGAATCGGAATCAGGGCAAAAGGAATCGGAAGTGCAAATTTCCTGGGAAATTCTTGGCGAATTGTTTTCCGGATGGAAAATGACTCAATGAGTTAACCAAGTTAACCCCAACGGTATCCATCATCCCTTCATTTTTTTGGGTTGTGACTGGGTGGTATACCTCTAGTAAAAGGGTTGCTCCAAGCCACTATATATAGATCAATGATAGCCACCAAAAAGGGGAGGTAAATGGGTCATTTACCTTTGGCCAATTTACCCCCCAAACGTACCTGGGGTGAGCCAGTTATGACTCCCTTTCGTGAAATCTTTGGTGTCATGATGGGTTTACTATCTGCAGACTTTTCTACGCCTCATATCAATGGAAATTCCAGGATCCTAAATTGGAGGGCTATATTTTCTGGGGATATTCCCTTACATAGGTCTGAAAAATAGGCCTTATATATGGTAGGTTTATGGTTTATGAATTTGGGTTTACCACATTCAAGATATTCAAGGTCAGGCCACAGTGAAAAACTTTGGTTTATAAAGCCATAGACCACACAACTCACCCAGTTATGTTCACCAACTTTGTGGTAAACGGCCCCAAATTGCCTTGCTGGTTGGTGGTTTGGAACCATGGAATTTTTATGAATTTCCATATCTTGGGAATAATGATCCCAACTGACGAACTCATATTTTTCAGAGGGGTAGGTATACCACCAACCAGATTGAATGTGTTTCCCCTGTTTCTCGATCCCTATTTTTGCCCCCAGGTGGTCAAACGGCTCTTCATGTCCGTTGGGAAGTCAGTCCCTGGGCCTTCGTCTCAGGCATCGGCTATCTGGAAATTCCCGAACTAGCCATGGAGGTTTCTAGCTGGGAAATTCATCTATGAATAATTATGAATAGAGGATTTTCCAGCAAGCCATGTTTATCAGAGGGTACCTAAGAAATATACAAGTTGGATAAGTACAAGTATCCCCAGGGAAACCGAAGACCACAGGTATACATAGTTTCATATAATTCCCCATACTTGGAGCCGGTAGAATGAATTTATGCAAAATAGTTCTAATTAATTCTGTCAATTTTTTTAAATATTTTTTTTTTTTGAAAGCTAAGCAAACCATCCTCAAAACAGGGGTTAATGAAATGGGGTATAGTCTATATCTGATTGGTGGTTTGGAACATGAATTTGACTTTTCCACATATTGGGAATTTCATCATCCCAACTGACCAACTCACATTTTTTAGAGGGGTAGGTCTACCACCAACCAGGTATAGTTCTATGGGGGATGATAGTTTATGACCCCTAAATGATGGGTAACTGGGATGGCCCATCAGAAAATCATGTGGAGGTGATGATGTGGCACCATCCTCCCATGCTTCAAACTATTCAAGATCCTCGACCTTTCCATGTGGCACCATCATGCCGACCCGACCTGTCACTGCTGAGTTGCTGCTTTGAGCCTAAAATTCTCGGCGACCTTTCCCCAACATAGACCACAACCAATCACCCATGGCAGGGCCTACGTTGGTAGGACCTGGACAGTACGGAAGGATTCTTTATGATTTACCCTCTGGTAATTTAATAAAGCTATTGAACATGGCCATTTATAGTGGATTTACCCATTGAAAATGGTGATTTTCCATAGCTATGTTAAATTACCAGAGGGTAAGGATCTACTGCCAGAATAATTCAGCTTTGCATTTGTGGAGCAAATCCATCACCGGGATCCTCACTTTTGGCTTTTGGCATATGTCATGTTTGTCCATTTGTTTCCATATTATATGGGATTGCACTAGCATAAAGCCACATAGTACATTATAAAGATTATGTGGGGAAAATGGTCAAAACTTGGGTACCTGTCCAGATTGGGGCAATGGTCATCAATCCAATAGGGACTTATATGTGCCAATGATATGAGGATTCCCATGACTTGGGATGGATGTAAATATCTGCCGCCCAGCCCTTCTGTTGATGCGATTTCGCTTTTCTGGTTTTAAACATGAAAAGGAACTATTAAAATTACTTTACTTCGTGTGATCCCCACCATGACATTTATACATGTTCTTACTGGCACATCTTCTGGCATTCTATCTGACATATCTTCTGACATTCTATTTGGCATTCTATCTGGCATATCTTCTGGCATATCTATCTGGCATATCTTCTGGCATATTTTCTGGCATTCTACCTGGCAAATCTTCTGGCACTCTATCTGACATTTTATCTTCCTACATGAGGTCCGGCAGGGAACACTTGGCGTGGATACTCGCGGTTGAGGTCCGGCAGGGAACACTGGGCGTGGATGGTCGTGGTTGAGGTCCGGCAGGGAACACTGGGCGGGGATGGTCGTGGTTGAGGTCCGGCAGGGAACACTGGGCGGGGATACTCGCGGTTGAGGTCCGGCAGGGAACACTGGGCGGTGATGGTCGTGGTTGAGGTCCGGCAGGGCACACTGAACGTGGATGGTCGTGGTTGAGGTCCGGCAGGACACACTGACATGGATCGCAGTGGAGCAGGAGGAGGAGGAGAAGGAGGACGAGAAGGAGGAGGACGAGGAGGAGGAGGAGGACGAGGAGGAGGAGGACGAGGAGGAAGCAACTGACATAAAATCTAACAACCCTCACCTGGCAGGTGGGGAAAAACACATATTTTCATATTGTTGGTTATAACTTATAACGAAGTATTCCAGTATACATCCCCATTATGTATATATATATATACATATTATACACCCTCCGGTAATCAAATGTGGCAATGGAAAATCTCCTCAAATGGAGGTTTTGTAGGAGAATCAGCTATGAATGGGGAATTGTCCAGCCCACGTTTGATTATCAGGGGGTAAGTCGTGTATAAACAATATATAACTGGGAACATACTGTACCATATACAACTGGGGTAGCCCCTGGGGTATTTCACATGCTGATTGTGCATCCCAATATATATATATATATCACATATGATTGAGTATCAAGAGTTATCCCATTATACATCCACATGTGTATATATATATATACTTATATAACATATATATACTTATATATATATACACATTCAATATTACATATCATATGTACGTACAATATCCATATAATCCATATAACACAGAAAAACTATGGATAACTATTATTCTCCATATGGAGTCTATATGATTATATAGCATATGATATGTACATATATAACACATACGATCCAAATATTATGGAAGACCTGGCTCCCAGGTGGTCCGCCTTGAACGCCTCAGCGTGGGTCAATTGTCCTTGGAGGACTGTGGCCTCTGTGCGCCACTCGGATCATTCTGGATGTGGTGGAAAAAAAATCCATAAGCCATATATTGCCCTCGGGATTTATAGTGATTTAATGGTCATTTATAGTGATTCAATGGGATTTTATAGTGATTCAATGGGATGTTATTGGGAAATACCCTCTGGTAAATTAACATAGACCCTGAAAATCACCAATTTTTAGAGGAAACTAATCTTCCAACCCCGATGACTGCCAGGGTCTATGTTAATTTACTGGAGGGTAAATATTATACATTATGAGTATTATATAATCAATATGAATACATGTTTATCATTAAATATATAATAATGTTTTTTTTTTAAATAAATAAACGGATTATATTAAAGCCATTATAGATGGTTTATAATCCGTTTATTAATCACAATATATTTTTGTGGTTCATATATATATATATATACAAATATATGATTGTGTATAATCCATATGTAATCCATATATTAAAGCCATATGGATGGTTATAACCCATAATATGGTTATGATATATGATTATGGTTTATAATCATTAATTAATCCGTTTATAATCAATATATAGTCCATATAATCCATTATATATATAATCCATATATAATGGGGTATGATCCATATGTAATTAATATATATATATATATATTTACTGCGGTTTATCATCTATAATCCCATTCTGGTGGGGATATTCCATATACATGTGCTCCCCTGGAGTTTACTTGGTAAGTGGTTAATCACCCTGGGTAGTGTGTGTCCCCCAAATGGGTTATTCCACTTGTAAATGGCTTGCAACCCCAGTTACTAGCCACTTTACGTCATTACCCTCTGGTAATGGCTGACATAGCTATTGAAAATGGCCATTTATAGTGGATTTACCCGTTAATAATAGTGATTTTCCATGGTTATGTTAGTTTACCAGAGGGTAACTATAGATATATCACCAACAAAAACCATAGTTATTGGATTTATTTGCACCAACCAATCGCGATTCCGAACTGGGGCACCAGCCTTTTTTTTTTTTACCCCAGTTACTAACCACTTACGATCGGATCATCCTCCAAGACGGTGCATCCACTATACCCTGGTTGATGGGTTAGGAACTGGTGGGACTTATGCTACCAATTTTCTTGGGAAGTATGTTCGCCCATTGGATTGGGAAACCTACTTGGATGTGCATTTCAGGCACTGGAAGTGGTTCAGAAAAGCCATATAACTGGGAATATTCCATATATAACTACGTTTTACTTTTTTCTGGGGTATTTCTAGATCCACTTTCTAAGTGGGATTCACCTCCAAGTAGGGATTTAAATGAACCAATGAGCATCACCATTGTTGACTGCTTATAACGGGTGATGCCACGCAGAAATCCCGTTCTCAACCAACCAGTTTTTGATGAGACGGGATGGCTGATTTTTTCCATGGCCCAAATTGAATCAAAAACTGGCTGGTTGAGAACGATATAAAGTTTAACCAGTTTTTGATATGGCTTATTTTATCTTTTCATGGCTCAAAATCATTAAATCCATGGATTTTGATGATTCGATGTAATTGATGTGGGTTTAATGAATTATCAAAGATGAAAAAACCACTGAGTTCGATGATTTTCCTGCAAAACTTGGTTTTTAGTTTTTCGCAGTCCCTACAGGTGATTATCGTTGGGGAAATCATCGAAGGAGATCTTCCAGCAGAGGGTCCAGAGGGTAGTTTGTTTCTAACAACTTTCGGTATTTACTGGGGATGTCTACAGGATGGGGCCCCCCAGTAATAAGTTGGTTTATAAAACAATATAACCTCCATTAACTATAGTTATATCTACCATAAACCAGTGTTAAACCACTTATAAACCAACATAGCTATCTTGGGGGCCCCATCCTGTACTCACCTTAAAGAAAACTAAAAGAACACATGCCCTTGATGATTCGCACTTAAATCAGCCCCTCCAGTAAGTCAACATAGCGACAATGGCCCATTTGGGCTGATGATTTTCCTATTGGAAATTGTGATTTTCCATAGCAAACTGATAAATCGCCAGAGGGTAAGAACTATCAAATCTTTGGATACTAAGAACCATTCGTATTTACGAAGAAATCGACTACTGAAGGGTAGGTGAAAAGATGTTTTTTTTCAACAAAAGAGAAGATGTCATACCCGGCTAAACCTTACCCTCTGGTAAACGAACATAGCTATGGACTATGGACTATGGAAATCACCGTTAATCATCGAACTAAATGGGCCATTTTCCATAGCTATGTCAGTTTATTGGAGGGTAAGTTTGTCTGCAGCATCTGATATACAAACTCCAAATTGGACAGCCCATATCAACCAATAGGCCAATAGGTAAATGATGGTAGAGGGTATACCTGTTGCCCAGAATGCCAGATGAATTTCTGATGCGAAAAACCAGCCAGCCACAGCTTGGAGTTTCTAATTAGAGTTGATTGGTATTGTACTTTCACCCCACAGTCCTCGTCATCATCACCACCATCATCATCATCACCACCATCATCATCATCATCATCATCATCATCATCACCATCACCATCACCATCATCACCATCACCATCATCATCGTCATCATCATCATCACCATCACCATCACCATCATCATCACCATCACCATCACCATCATCATCATCATCATCATCATCATCATCATCATCATCATCATCATCATCATCATCATCATCACCATCACCATCACCATCACCATCACCATCACCATCATCATCATCATCATCATCACCATCATCATCACCATCATCATCATCATCATCACCATCATCATCATCACCATCACCATCACCATCATCATCACCATCACCACCACCACCATCATCATAATCATCATCATCATCACCATCATCATCATCATCAGCAGCAGCATCACCATCGCCATCACCATCCTTATCCCCCTCCTGGACCTCCTGATGTTGGGAACTTCAGCGTCAAATTTCTTGCCCAAAGTGCGTACTCCTTGAGACGCCAGACTCCACCTTGCCCATGTCGGACCCTCCAGCCATCCTTCTGGGGCACACCAGTGGACTGTCCGACCCAGCGAGGCTGGCTGGGCTGAAAGCCGTGGCTGAAACGCCTCAAGCTGGTCAAGCCACTTTGCTTCAGAGATGCTGTTGGTGCAGCATTGCTCTTCTTGTAGCGACTCTTCCCAGCTATTGCTGCTATGCCAATGCCACCCAGGCAAACTCCGGCAACTCATGGACCGATGCCAAGACCTGGGTTGTTATCTCTCTTGCCGTGACAACTGCCTTCGCTGGTTGGGCAGGTTTATGGCTGTGGCTCGTCGCCCCGACTGCACACATGGTTCTTGCGGGACGTTTTTTGTTGTTCAACTGGTTTGGAGGATTGTACACCCTGCTGGGGGACTCAGAAGGGAGGCCTATCATTTTGCCACTGGAACTGGTGGGGTTGCAATACCTGGCCCAGGATCGTTTGAACAGCTTGTGGTCAGCTTTATCTGCACATCGATTGGGCGCATGCTTGCGACTGACTTTTTGGCTTGAAATCGGACCTGTTTGTGGCGGTGCGTATTTCTTCCTCTCATTTCCTGGGAAGCTTTGTTCTGCTTCAGCAATGCTTCTTTTCCTGGTGTGGGTCTTTGGAGTCACTCATACTCTTTGCCGAGTCTTCTTCATCTTGCACCGAAGCTTGCGGATTGCTCGACAAGAAGCCAACCTCACTGCGATGAAAGCTCTGCTTGCTGCTCGGAGGAGCATTTTGCTGCAGGGATTTGGCATCATTGCTACTGTGGCAACGAGCGTTGCAGTTGCGGCTGCTGCCTTTCTGGCCTTTGGTTCCTCCGAACGCACTCAAGCCTATGGTGTTGTTCAGTGTATCAACAGTGTGGTCAACGTGGCTGGGGTCTTTGTGCTATCGAAAGCATATGAACTTTTGCGGCCGTCTGCTCAGCCACCTCCCGTCTCATGGATTCGATGCACTCGAATGGTTTGCTGGCGCCCCTGCTTTCAGGCTTCGCCCTCGCCGGATGAAGGACTCGGAAAGGCACGTCGGACTATTGGGTAAAATATCCACTTTAATGATTGTTAATGAGGTTTAACAGGTTTTCAACATAACTTTCCGATGGTTGTTGGATGCGTGCTAACCGTAACCCCAAGGGTTGGTTGATGTTTGGGAAGGGGATCGCTGTTCAGGGATCAGAGTGGGAAGCGAAAACTGAAGAGTTGGCGAGTCGTGGCATATCCTTGTCGGACCTCGTTGGTTTTTACAGCAATTTGGGCGACTCCATTATGAAATCCTTCCAGTCAGCAGTTCACACCACCAACGACGTAGTGAGACTGGGCATCATTCCGCAGACCTCTACGACATGTAGCTCCTATGCCCAGTTGGTGAATGACGGCAAAAAGGCCCGGATTTGCCAAGAAGGATCCTTTTGTCATTTTTTTTCTGAAGAACTGTCACTTTTTAAAGCTAGCGTCTCATTTATGTTGAATGCGTTTGTTCATGTTTGTTCCATTGCCAATCAAATCCAAGATTGAGGTGATTCCAAAGAAGATGGTCACCCACAATTGGTCGAATCTTTTTCGCGACTTGGTTGCCACTGTCATTGCTGATGCATTGGGAGAGCACGCATTTGAGTTTGTTGCGGAGTTGCTGTGTGACAAGCACGGTGTGAAGCTTCTGCAAGAAACGCTCAGGGTGCATGGATGTCTGGAGGAAACTTACTGGATCTGTGCCTTTGCCGTCAATCAGCATGCCGGCATTTGCGGAGCCAACCCAAATGGAGACATTGATCCGGTGACCAAGATCCCACATCCCACATGTGCTTGCAGCGCGCCAAAATTCTTCAACGAGGACCCGCCGCTGAATGAACACGGTGAAAGCATCCAGTGTGAGATGAACAAATTTGATGACATGATGGCCTTCCTTTCAAAGAAAGATAACAATTTTACAGAGGTGATCGCTGTGGATGCTGACCTTAACTTATTCCAGCGTTCATGGTGTATTGCTGAACTCGCCGAAGCTCATCGCATGGGCATGGCTCAGAACCTGATGCTTAGGAACAAGGCGACATTGATGAACAGGCAATGCACTTTGGAAGGACTGCAGGTGGAAAACATGAAAGCCAGCCGTCCTGAAGATGTACAACAAATTTTGGCCAAAATTCCAGACAAGAAGGCCTTCAACAAAAAACTGCAGGAACTGATTTTTGATGGAACAACTGGCTTATTGGCCTCTTGGAAGAAGGCAGATGTGTTGCAGCAAATGGAAGATCTTTCTTATGTCCTGAAATGGGCCAGACTCTCAGAGCTAGTAGAAGATGGCGCCCTGATTTGGCGCAGATGGATTGCATTTGCACCCTAGTTGGACCACTGGTTCACAATTCAAGGTTTCACATGTTTCACTCATATTTATTTGTACATCCTGGGACGAAGATCCCACTCCAACCAGTTGCCTGGATGAAGCTAGAAGGAGCTTCGTCAGAGGCATGCCCAAAAAAAGGCCTTGGGCCACAGGCTGTTGCTTCAACTGTGAAGATCTGGGTGACCTGATTTTCGGAGATTATCCAGGACAATGCCGAACACATGGCAACTTCTATTCAGAGATGCCAAGGGGATCATGATGAACCAGTGGATGGAATGGGGTACCATGGGGTACCCAACATTTTCAGATCGATCCTTTGAGCAATGCAATGTCACCTGATGTGCCTAAATCATGCTAAAACACCGTGTTGAAGCGGCATTTTAAGATATTTTAAGTTGCTAAATCCACATTCTTGTTGAATTCTTGTTGATGACATCCTCCGTGTTCAACCGGAAAGAAACTGTCAAATCAAGAGTTTCATCATTCCTCATCATTAATCCCCATTTCTGTGGTTTGATTTTGTTTTTTCTCGCTGATAAATCAGGTCTCTGCAGCTTAAGTCTTCACCAGATGGTGGGTGAACTGCTTAATTTGCAGAGGTATGTGATTCTCAGATATATAATCCATTAATAGAATTTGATATATATATATACACGTAAAGATCATTATAGATCCATTTATATACACGTAAAGATCATTATAGATCCATTTACACACACATATATATATATATAGATAGATAGATAGATAGATAGATCCATCCCCTTTATCCATCCCAGTGCTGGGACCCTGGGACCTTGGGACCCTGAGACCCTGGGACCTAGGCCTGGAGACTTTGCTGAGCTGAGCCAGCAGCAGATTGATCGACTATGGCAGGCCAAATCCCCAGCACCATGATGGGGGAGACCCCAAGTTATGGATGGGAAAAAAATCATGGACACATCCATGAAAATAACATGGGTGATAACTGGGGGTAAGTCAAGGTAACTTAGGAAACCAACATTTTTCTGGATTTTTGATGATTTGGGTCCATGGTTGGCGAACATTTGTGGGTGAGACTTCATGTTTCGTCACTCCTTGTGGTTCTTGGTGAGATATCACCATGAGTTTGTGCAAAAAATGGGACAGTGCGAGAATCCCATGGTTTGAACCATTTTGAAACACCATTTTCCTATGATTCCCATGAAAATGTTGGGCATGTTGACCGTCAAGCAGCACGAGGTACACACGGTGATTTCACCCAAACCATTGTATGTTGCCCAGAATCCTGAAGATATACACCCGTTGCAACCGTTGCAAGATTGGGGTTCTGTTTGAGATTTGAAGGCTTGTTGATGCTTGTTGATTTGTCGATTTTCAATCCAGCTTCCCTCCATTTAGAATTTTTAGGTTGGTCCAGGGATACTGTTGAAACGGCTGTGTATGGCCTCAACAGCCATGGACTGGGTGGTTGTTTTCATGGCAAACTCGTAAACTGTGTTTATCCTTGAGAGAATCAGGGGAACATGATTTTTTGGGGTACACTACAGACTCAAACCTCCACAATCGCAGAAAACCACCATTGAATCGTGAACTTTGAGTCTAGTAGACTAGATGGACTGTATTGTAGCGATAATTTAGCATAGATTGAAAAGATGCCTGTTTCATTCCTGTTGGCTGAATCATGTTGAATCACCGTTATCATTGATATGATGTGGGTTCCCCCAACAGTAAACCAACACATGTTTTTTTTTTTCCCCCGGAACGGGGTATCGACCCTCCAAAATTGGGGGTTTATGATTATGACATTGGTTTTACCACATTTTTTCGCGCCTGTTTTCGCTGGTATTCCCACCAGAGTACTTGGAGGATCGATTGGAACCCGATCGGTTAAGTCTGCATAAGTCCCTAGAAATGGGGGTTTCCAGAAATGGGGGGGTACCCAATAGCTGGATGGTTTATAATGGAAAATCATATTAAAATCGACGATTTAGGGGTTCCCCTATTTTAGGAAACCTCCATTTGTGTATGATATACATGGGTGAACTGACTATGATCATACTAATTAGCCACTGATTAATCCCCCGATTAAACACTTATTACCCACCAACTATGGTTATGCAAAGCCAATTCACTTTTTTCAGCTTCACGTTTTTGCAGGACCCGGCACCAGTGCAGCCAAAGAAAGGAACCGAGTCCCAATCTGAAGTCTGACAAGGCGTGTGTGCTGTGAGTGTTTTTTCACAGCGGGGCTATGAGTGGAGGATCACCTCACTTTGTACTACTTGGTAAGTGATTAATGACCATCATTTATATAGTAAGATTTTTGTAGCCTCAGACTGAGGTAGTTCAACATCTTTATTGGGTCGATTTTTCCACATTTTTCCAATCATTTGTCTTGATCACTTTTTGATCATTTGCCAAAGCTTTCCCGGGGGAATTGGAGACGTGCAAGAGAACATGGCCCAGGAAAGAAACTATGACCCACAAATGACCAAGAAATATTTCTGGGAAAATCATCCATAGATGCTGGATTTTTGAGCAAGCCATGTTTGATTGGTGAGTATCTGGTTATATCTGGCTATATCTGGTTGGTGGTTCAAAGACTTTCCAAAATCAAAATTTAGGCTGAATGCTGGTCGAGAAATCTCCCATCGTATCTTTCATGTTAAAGATGTTCAAGGGCCAAGCTCAATGGCCATTTCAGGATCCTAGATTGGAGGTACCTACCATATATAAGGCCTATGTAAGGCCTATGTAAGGGAATATCCCCACAAAATATGGCCTTATATGGTACAGTACCTCCATTTTAGGATCCTGGAATTCCCATTGACAAGCTGAAGCCTGTGCTCTTGTTGATGTTGGAGTGATGATTCCAGTGGTGATGATTCTAGTGATGGTCAAAATATTGGGATTTGGGTAGTGACCATCACGCATCGGGATATCAACAGAAACGGTTGAGGGTCAGGCACTGAGAGGCATTCTTAGGACATCATTTCGGGGAAAGCATCCCCAATAGCGCCATACATGGGTGATAAGAATCATTCTTAATTGGTGGCTTATTGGCTTATTGCTGGGTTTATCAGATTATATGGGAATTCGTCAGAATTGATTCAGCAATAATGTGATCTGGAATTATGATTAATGACCAATTCCCATATATGTTTCCCTATCAGGATTGAATTCTTCAGCTTTGAATCACCAGGGGGTTTTGGGACCTCATTCCAGTTGTTTTCTGGGTCGTCACAGCATTGATCTGAGAAACACATGCTTGTTTCATATTGGTCAAAACTTTCGAGATGATGCGGTTTTTTGATTTCTTTGGGGTTCTAGAAAAACAATAATGATCATAATGTAGTGTGTCAAGTAGTGTGTCAAGCTGACACATTTGTGATCTCTTGTGACGTGGAAAACTGGGAAAACTGCACCCAAATTCCGACTTTCAGACACCGAATCCGAAAAGGGTATGGATCAATACCTATTAATACAATTTTTAGGGGAATGAACATCCATTTACCAGCTATTTTGGGGTTCACTAGGTACCGGGGTTTTGACCCATCCCCAAGTCAGGAGCCCATCTCCTCAGTCGGTGGACCGTGGACCATGTGTTTCAGCACACCAAGGCCCGGCTGGTTTTTTTTTGGGGGGATTTCGCGAGCGAAAATCAACCTATTAACATGATCTACAATGGGGAAACGAAACCAATAGATGTAAATATCATGAAAAATCCCATGAAATCTTTACTTAATCACCATTTTTCATAGAATGTGAGGCCCCCCAGTGATGTTAGTTGGTTTAGATTCGCCTCAGTAACTAGTTCGTTATAAGTACCATAAACCATGGTTACTGGAGTTATGTTCACCAACTTTCCCAAGTAGCAATTTTTGTTGAGAGGGGCTTGTTGCCAGCGCTGGAAAGTAGGCTTTCCTCATGTTCTTGTATCCTTTGGGAAATGGTCATAATCAAATAGGATGTTTAAAAGGAGGAGGCTTGACCCAGAGAAAAACACATATTCAGCTGCAAAATGCATTCCTTTTGGACTTGGGAAGGCTATCCAGTCCAGACCATGTGAGGCCATAGATTCTCATGAGAAAAAATTATCGACCGCAAGGCAACCTGCCATCCCGGAACCTTTTTTTGGTGAGGAAATCAGGAAATCCAGCCGCATGTGAGCGAACATCGGCGATCATTTTGGTTTGATGTTTCCCCAAGGAACCACCGGAACCACTTGAGGCACTAGAAGTGCCTCAAAATCGTGGGGTGCAGCACTTCTGAGTTCAGATCCCACCAGATCAACTCTTTGTGATCCTGAACCACCCTTCCAGAAAAAGGGAACACTCAAAATCGAATGATCTAATGGAAAAGCCTCAAAATCTAATGGAAAAGCCATGTTGGGAACATCTGGAAAAAAATGATGTGGATAAAATAAGACTTCATTGTCCATCTGAAAATCATGATATCTTTGGTATTTTTCCATTAAAATCATCATGTCCCATCAATTCGTAGACGTGAATTGGGGGTATTTCTGTCCTGGGCTAAAGGCGAACATCTCGCCGCACGCCGCGTCCAAAACGTCGACGGCAAGGGCAAGGGCAAGGGCAAGCCAAGCCTAACTGGTGCAGAGGCGACTTCAAAAAGTGGTGAAGGATCTGAACCTGAAGCAGATCCTGAAGATGAAAACTATGAAGAAGAGATTGAAGAAGAAGAAGAAGTTCGTGAGGGCAGCGAGACCTCCGTGGAAGTGGAGCTGGAAGTAATCCCAGAAGAAGAAGGTGATCTTCCTGAACATGAAGAAGGGCAAGATGATGACCCTTCGCATGGAATGGCTGAGAATGGAGAGTCGGCCGATCCTGACAACTTGGGGACCGAGGTCTTTGATGATGGCCAAGGACCTATGTCAGAGCCAGAAGTCGACGCCGGAGACCGATCAGAGGCGTTGGCATCTTTGGGGATCACGGCAACATCAAGCTTCATCCATGACGAGGAGGCGGCCCATGAAGAGCACGACTGAGGGTAGAAGCCTTGGGCCTACGCAACATGGCCTGTAGAAAAGGGCTTGGTTTTTAAAGCCCATAGAAGTTTTCCAAGGCCTCGTGTTTAAGGCCATTAGGTTTGCACGTGGTCTAGTCTTTAAGACCGAATGATGGTAGCCGTTGGGAAGTGAGTGCACTGAAGGTGCTACTCCGCTAGGCGTTTTTCCATCCAATAAGAGCAAAGCCTCTAGGTCCTAGAAAATTGACCCTCCAGTACAGAGTTTGGCAGCGGAGTGCATAAGGGATTTTCAAAGCTGACCTTTTGGCTATGAACAAGTGTAGTATCTGTGCACTACATGATACAACTGACATGACTGTGGTAGGTAACAACCACCTCCTACCGCAGGCTTCTTTAGCCCAAACAAAAAGGTGTGCTCACGCTCACGCTGCTCCGCAAGCAGTCTGAAAGTAGGGCATGCTCAAACCCAGTGGTTCATCATCCAAAAATGCCATTTGGGGGTGTAGCTCATTTTCAGACGTACACACGCACACATTTTTTTAGTGTATCAATATGGGATTTATGGGGAAGCATCAAAAAGCAAACGGCCATTGATTCCAAGTGATGCTTGGTTGAACCGTGGGCTTCCGGGGCCACGGCAGGAACAGTGCGGTCCATTGCCCCAGCTCAGCAGTGGCTTGACGGATCCAGAAACAGGGGCACAAGATCAGTGATGCTTCATTTGGCGGAAATTTAAAGATTTTAAACATTCTTAGTTGGATTTGGATGGATTTGGATGGATTTGGATGTTGGCTTTGGGCCTACAAAGAGGCGGTATGACCATCGAGTAAAAATATCCCTGAGGTGGTCGTCAATTTGGGAACCCGTGTGGTTGGATGATCTTTTTTGCTGGAAATGATCCAACATTTTGGAAACTTTGGGAGTCGACAAGTCGACAATTTAAAGAAAGATCCGTATGTTGGTAGGTAGTAGAACATGGATGGTCAATATCACGAAAAATGTTGACAATCTCTGGCCCAGAGTTTTTTAGTTTTGGAACTATGCAAAATCGATTGGGCCCAAATCATCGTCCATTCAAGGTACAAAATCGAGAATTTCGCGGACGGCCATGTAGTCTGGCTGCATTTTAAGGATGGTGAACTCGGTTTCGAAAATAGGGCGACCCAAATCCAATGGTTGATCATCGCATTCCCCCAAAACTGCCATTGGGGTATACCGTGTACCACAATTTGATGGTTCCACAATGACTGCACACATTTGCTGCTTTTTTTAACGTGAGGCACAGGGGGTACAAGTTGAGATGGCGGGGAATTCGGATCTGTGGGTGACTGGGGTTCCTAATGGCCACGGTCAGCCCCAAGTTTTGGGGATGTAGCCTCTACAACTGGAACCACCTTTACTGTAACCGGAACTGCACCACTGCCCAGGAACTAGATGCCCCGGAACGCGAGTGATGTGCTGAGGGCTCAGTTTTCATGGCCTGTTCAGCGTCATGTCCATGTTCAAGTTCAGATATAGGAAGATTTCTTAAATGGGGGAACCCAAAACCATCCCAAAATTGGCTATGTGAAATGAGAAGTGGCTTCGGGCTGTCCCTATTTATTAAGAAAACGTTTCAGCTAGAAGGATCTGTTGAGCCACAACCTATGTTTCTTCCCGGAAGGATTGTTTATGCGTCCATCATCCTGATGTACTTCCAAACTTGATGCAACTGCTTGCGAAATGATTCTTGCGTCAGATTGCAACAGTCAAATTGTGCAGCAGTGGAAATGACCATCTTCAGCACCAAAGGTGCCAAAATCTTCAGCACCAGGGTGGCCAGTTTTACGAGTTGTGGCCTGAGTCAAGACTGGTCGACCTCATGGGTCAACATAGGTCAACTTTTAGAGGCAGATTTTGGTCATTCTTTGTATTCATGCAGCCATCCAATTTTTTGGGGACCAGCAATTTGATCCATACCCAAGCCTGAGCGCAAGATGAACAGCGAATCACATGATTTTGGCACAGCGTTTCGACCTGCTAGCAAAAACATACTTCAAATTGGACCTTCAACTCCTTGTTCTGTTTGTGCGACGTCTGGAGGCGACTTTGAAACCTCATACAACTTCTACTGTATCAGGTCTCCCATGTAGAGAGGTCTTGTTCCACCTTCCGAGTCAAAAGCCATGAGGTTTCGCAGATCTAAAGAAGCTCTTTGGATTACGGGCCCATAGATCCATAGATTTTTTTGAAGCCTTTGAGCGGTTTGCCCCCTGCCCCCATGAACAACAAAGGGATTGTGGTGAGTCAGGAACAGCTCTTGGAGAAAAGAAACATATTTTGAGAGCCGCAAAGACATCAGGCCCTGCCGTATTCCACGACTTTTTGAGACTTTATGACACTTTTTGGGTTCGGACGCCATTCGATGCCAAAAAGGAATCAAGTTCCAGTGACCCAAAATTGAAAGACGAGGAACGCCTTCACACTCTTGGGAGCTGCAGCTATCTTCAACCCGACTTCCAAAACTCCAACCAAGGGATGGTCCGAGGTTCAACCAGCCGCACAAGAGTCACAAGAGTCTTTGCCTTGCTGCAGGCATCCTTTGATTGTTTTGCTCTTCATCGTTTCGCGGAAAAATCATTTGTGTACGACACCCTGTGAAGGTGGCAGGTGAGCTAAGGCACTCGCTTCAATTTGTTTTTGAGTGCGAGTGTGCGCAAGCGGCGCAGTTATGTCCTTCCAAATGATGTCCTCGCTTTTGATTTGTCTTGGAGATTTTGCAGTTACTCCACATTCCACATCCCGGAAGATTCTAAGACATCTTAAGCTAGACTCTGGAGCAAGGCACACTCAAGCGGGGCTTGGGGCTTGGGGCTTCACCACAAGGGTGCCGCAGTTATGTTTAGTTTTTCATGGTTTATAACCCCATTAAGTATAGTTCAATACATCTACCATAAACACCGAATGGAATTCACCTAGTTCACCCCAATATTCCCCGTATTTTGAGGAATCTCCTCTATTTTTCTAGGAGTTCTATAGATTCACCATCATGGTTCATGGCAGCTGAGCTTCAGGCCCGGCGCCCTTAGACATGTGCCGAGGTGCTCTGAGCATTGGAGGGTGACGTACAACTTGTGACCTCACGGGACCTCACGGGACGAGGGATGTCAGCTGAAGCTCTACACAGAACGAAGCATCTGTCGATGTTTTCGGTCTTTTTCTAACCAGAAGGTATACCTGCTTGATCTGCTCCAAAGATTGTTTCCGTGACCAAATGCGAGGCTCACACGAAGCAGCTTTCTCTTCCCAGCAGCAGGCCGGGGTTTAGCCCAAAGGTTCCGTGCTGCTTCTGGTGGTTCTGAGGGTTCCGAGGGTTCCGAGGCCAGAGTGGGTTCCGGGATGGTTCTGAATGCGGAGGTTCCAGTGTGGTGGTTCTGGAGGTTCCGATGGTGTGCGTCTTGTTTATGAACTTTTGATGCAGGTTCCGAGTGGTTCTGGGTGGTTCCGGGTGGTTCCGAGTGGTTTCGTACTATTTGTGTTGATTCACATAGCTTTTCCTGCTTCAGTTTCTTGGCGTCACTTCCCGAATTTCGTTCCTTGCCTACTTGGCGTTAAAAGTTAGTCAGGGTGGAGAACATGTTGAACACAGTTATCAAACACAGCATACTTGGCCTGCATGCATTCCAGGTGCAGGTTGATCCTTTGGAAACGTCCGTGCCTGAGTCGGCGTGGGCCTTTCCAGGATGTTATCTCTCGCCCAAGCGATCGATTGGAAGTGCTGCCACAAAGTCGTACGCAAATTTGCGGGTCGGAAAGCTGGCACTGGTTGCCCATGGAACGCCATTGGCTCGAGACATCCTGCCCAAACACCAATTTGATTCGACGCACTCGTGATTTTATACATCTGGCCATGTCGCCCACTTCGGCCATCGTTCCACTCTCGCTCTTCTTGGTGAGTGTGAGCCCCATCGCAGCTGATCTCGAGCCTCTCGAGGATGGCTGCTTGTTGCAGAAAACCAACGGTCCATTGATCCCAGTAGCTGATGGTGACCCCATCTCGGTTGTTGGTGACCCGCACATCACTACTTTGGATGGCAAGCACTACACTCTTCTCAGCCAGGGTACCTTTTCCCTCTGGCATTTCTCAGGCCTGGAGACGGAGTTGCATTCAGAGGTTGGCACCAAGAAACTCCCAATCGATTGGCAAGTGTACGTGCACTATTCGGGGCACCAGTCCTTCACGAAGGGCTTGCTTCTGATCGACAAGTCAGGAGGATCCATCCGACAAGTGCTTGAGATCACTTCACAGGACTGCAAGTGGAAAGCACGGAAAGGAAACGGAGACTGGAAAGTGGTCGACAATGACAATGCAGAGCTCTCCATCCCAGATGGTAAGGACTACGTGACAGGCTTCGACCTCGGCACCACGGGTCCTCGCGGTCATGGTGGCCATGGCTTTCCCAACCGTGTTCGCTTCAACATGAAGACCAAGAATGGCAAGTCGGACATAGCAGCCATGAGTCTCAGTTGCAGACCAAGCCACAACATGAATCTCCAAATCTCAATGAAACGCCAGAGCGACCAGCAGTTTGTGGATGGCGAGTTGAAGGTCGCACGCAAGTCGCTGTCTACGCTGCAGACGTCGACCGACTCTGACTTCAGAGTGGACAGCAAGTGGCAAGAGCTCGGCGGAAGTGAACAAGCAGCCTCGTACTTTCAGCTAGCTGACACACATCAAACATCCAGTTCCTTGTTGCAATTGCAAGGCTGCGGTGATGCTGAAAAAGGCTTGGCGAAAGAGACTTGTTCCAAGCACTTGGGAGAGGTGCGTGGCACAGAGAACACTCATTTCTTTGAAGATTGCGTTTATGATGTTTGCCATGGCGCTGGCGAGACGCAAGCAGAACTTGCAGCAGAGCTTCTCGCTGTGACCAAAGCTGATTAGGACGATTACTGGGACGTGCGGATTTACCATATGATTTGCTCGCACGTGTCATGGGCAGTTCTTTCCCTTGAGCACCTTCCCATAAGCGGTCGGTTTGGATTTGTTGCTGTATATAAACCCTCAGTGAAAAAGAGTAGAGCTGGTTTCTCAACAGATGTGGTGAGACACAAGATGAACTGGGCACTTCTGAAGTCTGTGCAAGTTCCAAGTTCCAAGATGTTCCAAGTGTCCCACTTTGGGGTGCCATTTTTCACGTATGGCTTGGCAGCAACCGACACCATGCCCCTTGAGGTGGACTCCGCAGTAAGCAGGACTGACATGTCATGTTGGGCCCTACCTGCAGATATCTACAGTGGTCCGTTTTCTTTTTTCGTGGTTGCAACTGCAACGGTTGCAACTGCAACGGTTGCAACGTGTCCTGGCGATGTTTGGTCGCCCTATCCCAGTGGTGCAATGTGGTTTTGTCTGAAAATAGGACATGCCCAAACCCTGTGGTTCATCATTTTCCAAAAATGCCATCCATTTGGGGGTGTAGCTCATTTTGCAGACGTACAGGCGCACACAGTTTTTCGTGTATCAAGATGGGATTTATGGGGGAAGCATCAAAACAGCCTTGCAAACGGCCATTGATTCCAAGTGATGCTTGGTTGAACCGCGGACTTCCGGGGCCACGGCAGGAACAGTGCGGTCCATTGCCCCAGCTCAGCAGTGGCTTGGCGGATCCAGAAACAGGGGCACAAGATCAGTGATGCTTCATTTGGTGGAAATTTAAAGATTTTAAACATTCTTAGTTGGATTTGGATGGATTTGGATGGATTTGGATGTTGGCTTTGGGCCTACAAAGAGGCGGTATGACCATCGAGTAAAAATATCCCTGAGGTGGTCGTCAATTTGGGAACCCGTGTGGTTGGATGATCTTTTTTGCTGGAAATGATCCAACATTTTGGAAACTTTGGGGGTCGACAAGTCGACAATTTAAAGAAAGATCCGTATGTTGGTAGGTAGTAGAACATGGATGGTCAATATCACGAAAAATGTTGACAATCTCTGGCCCAGAGTTTTTTAGTTTTGGAACTATGCAAAATGGACCCACCAAATCATCGTCCATTCAAGGTACAAAATCAAGAATTTCGCGGACGGCCATGTAATTAGTCTGGCTGCATTTTAAGGATGGTGAACTCGGTTTCGAAAATAGGGCGACCCAAATCCAATGGTTGATCATCGCATCCCCCAAAACTGCCATTGGGGTATACCGTATACCACAATTTGATGGTTCCACAATGACTGCGCACATTTGCTGTTTTTTTTGATAAACGTGAGGCACAGGGGGTACAAGTTGAGGAGACACGGGGAGAATTCGGATCTGTGGGTGGGGTTCCTAATGGCCACCACGGTAAGCCGAAAGTTTTGGGGATGTAGCCCCGTAGCCCACCTGAACCACCTTTACTGTAATGGAACTGCACCACTGCCCAGGAACTAGATGCCCCCGGAGCGCGAGCGATGTGCTGAGGGCTCAGTCTTCATGGCCTGTTCAGCGTCATGTCCATGTTCAAGTTCAAGTTCAGATATAGGAAGATTTCTTAAATGTGGGAACCCAAAGCCATCCCAAAACTGGCTATGTGAAATGAGAAGTGGCTTCGGGCTATCCCTATTTATTAAGAAAAGCTAGAAGGATCTGTTGAGCCACAACCTATGTTTCTTTCCAGAAGGATTGTTTATGCGTCCATCATCCTGATGCAACTGCTTGCGAAATGATTCTTGCGTCAGATTGCAACAGTCAAATTGTGCAGCAGTGGAAATGACCATCTTCAGCACCAAAGGTGACAAAATCTTCAGCACCAGGGTGGCCAGTTTTACGAGTTGTGGCCTGAGTCAAGACTGGTCAACCTCATGGGTCAACATAGGTCAACATGTCGGAGGCAGATTTTGGTCATTCTTTGTATTCATGCAGCCATCCATTTTTTTGGGGACCAGCAATTTGATCCATACCCAAGCCATCCCAAGCCTGAGCAGCGCAAGATGAACAGCGAATCACATGATTTTGGCACAGCGTTTCGACCTGCTAGCAAAAACATACTTCAAATTGGACCTTCAACTCCTTGTTCTGTTTGTGCGACGTTTGGAGGCGACTTTGAAACCTCATACAACTTCTATCAGGAGGTCTCCCATGTAGAGAGGTCTTGTTCGTCATTTCACGTCATGAGGGGCCATGAGGTTTTTCAAACAGCCGCCTAAAGAAGCTCTTTTGAGTATGGACCCATAGATCCATAGATCTCTTTGAAACCTTTGAGCGGCTTGCCCCCATGAACAATGAAGGGATTGCGGTGGGTCAGGAACAGCTCTTGGAGAAAAGAAACATATTTTGAGAGCCGCAAAGACATCAGGCCCTGCCGTATTCCACGATTTTGAGACTTTATGACACTTTTTGGGTTCGGATGCAATTCGATGCCAAAAAGGAATCAAGTTCCAGTGACCCAAAATTGAAAGACAAGGAACGCCTTCATACTCTTGGGAGCTGCAGCTATCTTCAACTGACTTCCAAAACTCCAACCAAGGGATGGTCCGAGGTTCAACCAGCCGCACAAGAGTCACAAGAGTCTTTGCCTTGGTGCAGACATCCGTTGATTGTTTTGCTCTTCGTTTCGCGGAAAAAACATTTGTGTACGAAACCCTTGGGCGGGCAGATGTTTGAAGGTTTTTGGCACTCGATTCAGTTTGTTTTTGAGTGCGAGTCTGTGCAAGCGGCGCAGTTTTGCTGAGAATTCCAAAGACCAAGCCTATGTCCTTCCAAATGCCCTCACTTTCGGACAAAAGCCATATAGGTCTGTCCTGGAGATTTTGCAGTTACTCCACATCCCGGAAGATTCTAAGACATCCTAGACTGGAGCAAGGCACACTCAGAGAGGGCTTGGGGCTCGGGGCTTGACCGGGACCACCGTTCACCATAGTTCACCATGCAGGTCTGGCACTGCCGTGCACATCGACAGTGCCGGCACTGCGCTGCTTTGGAGCAGTGGATCCACCAGGCTGAGGCGCTCAATGTGTGTTCTGTTTTGGGTTGGGCATAGTCTGCCACGGGACCTCAAGGATGTCAATTGAGCTCGAGGAATGTCAGAATCTGAACCTCCAACACAGAATGAACCATCTGAAGATGTCGATGTTTTCTGTGATTTTCGATTGTAAACCAGAAGGCATTACCTACTTGTATATTTTTTTCTTTGACCAAGTGCAACGTGCGAGGTTCCTACGAAGAAGCTTTCTTCTCCCAGCGTCAGGCGGGGTTTTAGAGATAAAGGTTCGGTGCTGCTTCCGTTGGTTCCGGGTTCCTCATGTGCCATGATTGTTCCGGAGGTTTTGGTCTGGGTTCCGGTGCTGATTCCGCCTGCTTTTTTTGTTTCCATTTCTCCAAGGTCTTTTAGGTGACGCAAAACCTTGGCCCCAGAGATGTCAGATCTACAAGCTTTGTAAATACCATGTGCGTTTAGTTTGTTAGCTTCCTGCAAACATTCTGCAGTCTACAAATGGTTGAAACAAAAGCTCAGCAACTCCGCACATCATGATTTATTAACTTAGATGTACATAGATAGATAGATAGATAGATAGATAGATAGATAGATAGATAGATAGATAGATAGTTGGTTGCACAGCTTCCAACGAACCTTCAACGTACTATTTATGTTGGAGCATATAGTTTTTCCTGCTTCACTTTCTTCGCATCACTTTCCACATTTCGTTCCTCGCCTATTTGCCGTTACGACTTACTTAGGATGGAGAACATGTTGAAAACAGTTGGACTTGCGAACTAAGTTGCTTTGTGTGTGTGCCTGCTTTCTTCTGTGACCTTTGGCATTGGGTTGGGCCTTGCAATCAATCAATATACATATTATACATACATAGATAAGAGTAAATAAGCACATAAACAAATAATTCATTTCAATGTATATACTGTATATATATATACAGTATATACATACACATGAATTATTTGTTTATTTGCTTATTTTACATATACGGATATAAATACATATTGGGTCAACCACAGCATACTTGGCCTGCATGCATTCCAGGTGCAGGTTGATCCTTTGGAAACGTCCGTGCCTGAGTCGGTGTGGGCCTTTCCAGGATGTTATCTCTCGCCGAAGCGATCGATTGGAAGTGCTGCCACAAAGTTGTACGCAAGTTTGCGCGTCGGAAAGCTGGCACTGGTTGCCCATGGAACGCCATTGGCTCAAGAAATCCTGCCCAAACACCAAGTCGATTCGACGCACTCGTGATTTCAATCATCTCGCAATGTTGCCCATGTCGGCCATGTCGGCCATCGTTCCACTCTCGCTCTTCTTGGTGAGTGTGAACCCCGTCGCAGCTGAACTCGAGCCTCTCGAGGATGGCTGCTTGTTGCAGAAAACCAAGGAGCAACAACTTTTGGTCAAGGAGGAGCAACGACGTCATACTCAGACTCCTGGCTATGAATATGTGTGCGGTAGCGGATCCCGCAACTACGGTTGCAGATGCACCAAATATAGCGTAGAAGTCACGGGAGTCACAACTGTTGCTGATTGTGCAGACAGTTGCACGGGCAATGTAGGATTTATTTTTGCGCCAAGGGCGCCATCCCGACCACAATGCCGGTGCTGCAAAAACCTGGTTCAAGATTATCCAACTACTTACCCATGGACTTTGTAAAAATATAGTGGCACAGTGATGGGAGACCCGCACATCACTACTTTGGATGGCAAGCACTACACTCTTCTCAGCCAGGGTACCTTTTCCCTCTGGCATTTCTCAGGCCTGGAGACGGAGTTGCATTCAGAGGTTGGCACCAAGAAACTCCCAATCGATTGGCAAGTGTACGTGCACTATTCGGGGCACCAGTCCTTCACGAAGGGCTTGCTTCTGATCGACAAGTCAGGAGGATCCATCCGACAAGTGCTTGAGATCACTTCACAGGACTGCAAGTGGAAAGCGCGGAAAGGAAACGGAGACTGGAAAGTGGTCGACAATGCAGAGCTCATCTCCATCCCAGATGGCAAGGACTCTGTGACAGGCTTCGACCTCGGCACCACGGGTCCTCGCGGTCATGGTGGCCATGGCTTTCCCAACCGTGTTCGCTTCAACATGAAGACCAAGAATGGCAAGTCGGACATAGCAGCCATGAGTCTCAGTTGCAGACCAAGCCACAACATGAATCTCCAAATCTCAATGAAACGCCAGAGCGACCAGCAGTTCGTGGATGGCGAGTTGAAGGTCGCACGCAAGTCGCTGTCTACGCTGCAGACGTCGACCGACTCTGACTTCAGAGTGGGCAGCAAGTGGCAAGAGCTCGGCGGAAGTGAACAAGCAGCCTCGTACTTTCAGCTAGTTGACACAAACCAAACATCCAGTTCCTCGTTCCAATCGCAAGACTGCGGAGATGCTGAAAAAGGCTTGGCGAAAGAGACTTGTTCCAAGCACTTGGGGGAGGCGCATGGCACGTATTTGTTTGAAGATTGCATTTATGATGTTTGCCAGGGCGCTGGCGAGACGCAAGCAGAACTTGCTGCAGAGCTTCTCGCTGTGACCAAAGCTGATTAGGACGATTACTGGGACGTGCGGTTTACCATGTAATTTAATCGCATGTGTGAGGGGCAGTTCTTTTTTTTGATCACCTTCCCATAAGCGGTCGGTTTGGATGATTTCCTTGCTGTATAATACAAGCCCTCGGTATCCCTCGGTGAAAAAGAGCTTGTTTCTGAACAGGTGCTGCGAGGCACGAGGTGAACTGGGCACTTCTGAAGTCGGTGCAAGTTGCAAGTTACAAGTCTTGTAAGTATTGTCCCTCATATGATTGCCTGGCAGCAACCTCTGACACCATGTCGCACCTTGAGGGGATGGTTTGTGATTGTTTTAACCACATTAATGTCAACCCCGGATTTATAAACCGTGGTAATTAGGAGGGGTACTCCCCAAATAGTCATAATCTGATACTTAAATGGTACCCCGCCAATTAAACAGCCGTTTGGGGTTTATTAATCCATCTATGGAAATTATGTTAAATTTGGGTCTTCAAAACCTCTGTTGGTTGATGGTGTGATAGTCATTTCATAGGGATTTTTACTATCAAAGTATGAGGGTATAAGATGATATACGTGGATGTATAAGTGATAAATGATGGTTGATTTATGTTAGGTCAGATTGCTGGACCAAACTTTATACCTGGTTGAGTATCGCAACTGATTCGAATCGAGTTTTTGGACCCGGAACTGCGCAGTTGTACAGCTCAAAACCATCGCGACAAGAAACGCTAGATATGTTGGCTACACAGGAGAGCGACTCGGCGATATGCTCCGCATTTGGATACCCTCGGGTAACTTGACAGACTTAACATATATGGAAAAGCACCATTTTTAGTAGATTAATCATGGAAATAACACTTTTTCAATAATTTGCGATGTTGGATTATAAATTATCAGAGGATATTGGAATTGTCTGGAAATGTGGTGACTGCAAAGTGGCCATGGAATACTAGCGAAATTTACGATAAACCATGAATTTTGGGTCCCCTATTTGTCGACAACTACAGGCGCACAGTTTTTAAATATGCCTTTGCAGTTCAACCCCTTTGGTAGGAGCCACAATAAAGGGGCCCTTCTTGCTACAGCCCAACCTCATTCAACTCCGAAATCCCATTGATTTGCCATCGAACAGGGCCCGGGAGGGCCCCTTTTGTCATCATACCACAGATATTCACAGGGCACACTGCTCAACTCTGAGCTCCAGTGTCCCAGGACCTCTGAACCCCTGAACTATCCGCTGCGTATGTTTTCCCCAGGTATGGGCTATGTTTTTTTTGTACATTGTTTGTGTTCAGTTCGTGTTGGTGAGATCCTAGTTTTTCGTTGCTCTATGGACTTTCTACCGCACTCTTGTTGGTGAAGATACATGTTTTTCCTACCAGGTGTTGCTTAACTTATCTCCTTGTGACGATGAAATCCTGGGAAAGGGCCACCTTTGAAAGTTTCCCCACGGCCGTGAACTTCCTGGCCCAACGGCCTTTGTGTGGCGTTTGGAATATGGCTGTGGCTGAAATGTGGACACCGTGCACCACCCAACTGGGCATTTTGATACAGAACATATATACATGAAAAATCATGAAAACATGTTTTTTTGGGTATCACTGGATGGAACGGCTCAAGAACAACATTTCAAGACTTAAATGTGCTGTATACGGGGTATGGTTATCCATACCATGCCATGGTGGACCCAACATCTTTTCGTTTCTTCCTGATGTTGTTCTTTTCGTTAGAGGTTTTGTGGCAGTAAAAACTTGCCCATACGGAAACCATAGCCATATGCTCCATGTATGGAATATTTACCAACATTTACCCCATAAATCACCCAGTTTTGTAGGTAAATATACTAAATATACTATACATGGAGCATTTGGGATATGGAAACCATCTTCCGCATCTTTAGGAATGGAGGCACACTTTCGACTGGTGCAGATCTTCTTCGACAACAGCTGGCACATGGCTGCCCAGCGGCCCGACGGATCCAGTATGACGCACCGCTCAGGGCCCACGGGAGGCCATCTCCTGAAGTTCGACTTCCGAAACGACGCTGGGGCTGGAGGTGAAGCGTAAAAAACGATGCCTTGATTCAATGGGAATTTCAGGATCCTAAATTGGAGGTACCTACCATATATAAGGCCTTTGTTTAAGGCCTATGTAAGGGAATATCCCCGCAAAATATGGCCAGAAATATGGTACTAACGTACCTCCATTTTAGGATCCTGGAATTCCCATTGATTGATGGGCCACATGTTTTTTCTGTAGTCCCCCCAAGGTAAAAATTTGAAACACAGCCCCAAACGAAACCATGGTAACAACTAGAGTGATATAGGTGGTGATAACATCTTTTTGACCATGGAATTGAGGTGTTTTGGGTGAACGAGGGATGGGACTACTGCTATGCCATTGAGGACAAAGTAGCTCAGCATTACTACCGTCAAACATGGAGATATTAACCATCAGAATTCGGGTCCAGGTCATTTTTTTTGTTTGTTACCATCTGTTGCTGAGAGGACTCCCAGTAGACGACGCAGTCATGGTGTAAACCAAATACAAAACGATCAGTAGGGGCGGTGGATGAACTGAGAAACTGGCGTAAAATGTGATTTCTATACCCATATGCTCCATGTATAGTATATTTACCTACATTTGGGTGATTTATGGGGTAAATGTTGGTAAATATTCCATACATGGAGCATATGGGATATGATGGCAGCTCTCTTTTGTTCCTGTCATCAACTTTTTACAGGCCGCGCTGTTGACTCATCCCCAGATATGGTTGCCACGGCTACGACACAAATTTACGCCATGGATTGCCAGGGATAGGGGAAATACAATTAGCAGGGGCACCACTTACAACTTCTGAGATGCATTTCTAAGTAGTTGAACACCAAGTATATATATATATTATATATATAATAATCACACACATATATATATATATATTCTACTAAGACTATAAATGAATATATGTGTATATATATATTGTATATATATTATATTATATTATATTATATTATATATTATATTATATTATATTATATATTATATTATATATATATTATATATAAATATATATATATATTATATAAAATATATATATGTTATATATATACATGTATAGTTATAAACTATTTCTTAGTCATCTCCCCAAGTCAACCTTCTTTGATGTTGACCCCAATCCCAACGAAAACTCACAGGTCTTCGTGGAAGATGCACCCAGCAAAGCAGCGGATCTTCTACTTTTCCCCGAAGTCCGGGGCTTCTTCTCCAAGTCTGCCGAGCGCGACTCGGCCCTGCCTGGTTTGGTGGAAATTGTCTGCTTGCAAACTGAGCAGTGTTCAAAACACGTGTTGGTTGATCATTGATTATAGGGGATGATACTACCCAATATATTGAAGATTATAATAATCCAATAGGGGAATCCCTACAAACCAACCAGTACAATGAAATGATAGAGGGATTTTGAACGGGATGATACTGGAAATATAACCTAAGACCCTGGAAATAAATATAAATTTACTGGAAAAACAATTTAAGGTTCCCCTGATCCTCTGGTCCCCTGGTCCTCTGGTCCCCTGTTCCTCTGGTCCCCTGGTCCTCTGGTGCCTTGGTCCCCTGGTCCCTGGGTCCTCTTGATCCCCTGGTCCCTTACCCTCCCCATCCTGGTCCTTTACCCTTCTCATCCTTTGATCTCCCAAATACACCCTAACCAACCTGAAATACATCCAAAAACTAACTCTAGAAAATGTTGCAAATAACATGAATTCTGCAGATAATCAATTCCCTGCGTAGTACAGATGCTGGCTCCAAGATGCTGCGAGCACGGTGCAAACAAGGGATTCAAGGCCACAACGCTTTAAATACCATGCAAATTGCATAATTGAGTTCCAAAACCCTGCAAATATTGTATAAGAGATTTCAGCTGCAATTATTCAAGGCCAAAACGCTTTAAATATAAAATGCAATTGCATGTTTAAGTGTCCAAACCCTGCACATATTGTACAAATAAGAGATTTCAGCTGCAAACAGGTTCAAAGTACAGATTCTTAAGTTTTTTCTCCAGTGTCTACCCAGTTTGAACACTGCTCAACTGAACAGGATGACGAGCAGGGATGATGATGATGATGATGATGACGACGTCGACGACGATGATGATGATGATTTGAGGATGATGATGATGATGACGATGATGATGATGATTTGAGGATGATGATGATGATGACGATGATGATGATGACGATGATGATGATGATGACGATGACGATGACGACGACGATGATGATGCTGATGGCGATGATGATGACGATGATGATGGTTTGAGGATTATGATGATGATGACGATGATGATGATGACGATGATGATGACGATGATGATGATGATGATTTGATGACGATGGTGGTGATGATGATGATGACGATGATGATTATTATGTGAAGATTTGGTGATTTGCGTGTTTGGTGATTTGATGGTATGTTGATATAGTGATATGACAGGATCGTGTGAGCACGAAATCAAATTCCTGCTCGGATTGATTATGCAGATGGGCTTGTTAAATTTATGAACGGGGGCTGCTTTCTTGGGGGCATTAAGATTGGGTATTGCCATGGTTATACCTCCCCTTAAGTCAGGCTATTACCCCAATAGCTATGGTGCACTATATCCACCTATTTTTGGAACTGCACCCCCCAAGTAAGTGGCATTCTCCTCCCATTCACCAGTGGAAAAAGAACCTCCTACAAAATGACGTTCCCCTTCAAAACAGGGCATTTTATCCCAGGAAAGTTGGGTGAGATTTCTGGTTTTGCAACGTGCATCCGTCAGCTCAACCCAGCCTCTTGCAGGTTTCCATCCACATCACTTGAGTACTCGAGTAGTTGAAGTATATGGACCTAGGGCAGCATGTGTCGGATTGGGGGAGTCATCTGAGAACCAAAATCCTAGGCTTGTTGTGGATGATGGATTGACCCGTGTCACTTCCTGGAAGAGTAAGATGCAACCCGAAACATTGCCATTCCCACTCGGAGAGCTACAGTATCTTTCAAGTGACGTACCGGTGCTCAAGGGATGTCCTGGTGATGCAATGGATGGACGCTAACAGTCAAACAATAAAACCTATGACTTGCATGCAACTGAAACGAAACGCTTGGAAAAGTGCATCTCAGTCAGTACCTGGGTAAGAATTCATTATATGCATGACAACTGTGGTTGGTAATGTGTATATAAGTGTATATCATGATTGATGATGTTGCCATTATATAGCTAGTCTGGTACTTATAACTAGGGTCTGATACGGTTATGATTTATTGCTGTAATTCTTACGTCCATAGAAATCATACGCATACCAGTAAGTAGCTGTGTTCATCGCACAAGAGCTGGGTTCTCATATGGCATGGTATGATGTATGTTAAACGATATACGATATATAAATGATATATGATATTTGGTACATGAATGTGCATGATATATGATGTATGATAAATGACACCCGATATTTTATATTTGATACGTGGTATTTGATATGTGATATATGATATACGATGGTTTGGTGATAAAATATGTATAGATATATACATGATTTTTATGATTTGTTTGATGATATATGATATGTTATGTCCGGTATATGATGTATGATTTTTTGATGATATATGATTTATCATGATGATATATTACGATTGATGATATATGATGACATATGATAATACAGGATAATATGATAATATATGATAGTATTTGATTATATATGATATTATATGATGATATATATGATATTATATGATGATATATGATGATATATGATGATATAAGATGATATATGATGATCTATGATGATCTTTTTGATATTTGATATGATATGATATCGCTATATCCCGCTTGCTGGAGAGGACCAGGAGATGTTTTGGTGAACCAGTCTTGGACCGCATCTGGGATCAAGCAGCGTTGTTTTCGGCTTTGTTGGCCCATTTCGGAGCCACACATGTGGGCCATTTCGAAAAATCCTTTCTTTGCAAGTGGATATTCAAAATCCCTTATAAATGGAGGTTTAATGGGAAATTCATCTATTTCTAGTTAAATAACCAGATGGTATTTTGCTTCAAGATCTTAAACTGTTTTTTTGGATTTGGATTCTTGAACCATGAATAATCATGAATAAAAAAAGAATTTTGGGCACCCAATGACTTGACCCAATGGGGATACAACCTGGTTGGCATGGTTGCGATGGATAGTGACCCACACCCGAAAATTGACATCATTCTATCGATCCAGGTGAACTGAGCCATTCCCCTGGGGTCAAAACCAGTGAAATACTGACTTGGGGGGTAATTCATATCCACAAATCCCAGGTATTTTGATGATTTCACAGAAGGGGATTCCATGTTGAAACATTATTTTTTTTTCTGATCCACAATTAGCCACACCCAAAAGCCACGGATTGGAAGTTCAGGGTCCTTGGCATATCAGGCCCCGGTGCATTTGATGGTTTGCATCTTCTTCGGTCAACTTTCAGGTGCAGAATGATCAGGATGTTCAAAGACTCGGATGGAACAAACTAGAATGGAAAGCATGGCCTAGCACATGAGTTGAGGATGGTTTACATTTACAGTAATGCATCCCAGGATAGATACCTTGTCAATTGGCGAATACAGATAATAGTGTTGGTAGCCTGCAGCAGCTCACTTTTTTTTTTTCGGGCCAACACTTGGTTTGGATGAAAACAAGGGTTCCAGCACCTTCTTTTTGGGGAGCAGGACTGTGGTTTGCAATGGTGGATGTTAAATTGAGGTTAATTGACAGTTTTGAGTTTCCCCTCTGGCAAAATAACATAACTATGGAAAATCACCATGTTTATATAATGGGAAAATCAACGAACTCAATGGCCATGTTCAATACCTAAGTGTTAGATATGCTGGTCTACCAGAGGGTAGAAACCATTTGGAGTCCATGTGGAATCCATTGTGGACCTCGCCAGGCCCCAAGAAGGCCCACTGTCTCTATCACAAGACGCCCATGTTGGCGTGGCAGCAGCTTCGCCAGAACTTTCCCGAGCCGAATTCCTGCACACTGGTACACCAGGAGTTCAAACGTTCGGTGGGGCCTTGCAGGGATCTTAGGAGGTTTTTTTTGGTCCCCACGACTCATTGAAGTATAGTTGTATCATCTGCTGTATCTACAATAAACATCCGTAGTTGCCATAGTTAGAGTTATGTTCACCAACTGAACGCATATTTGAATTGAACGCATATCGGAGGCCCACCGAATGTAGGTATGACGCCACGCTGCGTCAGCCGTTGACTTGGTGCGCCGGTTCCATCGCTGGGTTTCTTAAGACATCGAGTTCGTAAATTGAGGCATGGCCCATGTTCAGGCCAATCTCACGCGTACCCCAAGTATAGTAGCTTTTTCCCGAATGCGTAGCAAGGGTTCCCGTTTCACTCTGGGGGTCTGGGGGCTGAGGGTGTGTTCGCTCGACGTCGCGTTTACGTTCGCAACCGTCTGCAACCGTCCGCAACCGTCTGCAACCATCCGCAACCGTCCGCGCGATTGCTACATGGCCGTGCCTATGGTAAGTTCTGCAGAAGGGGTCCTATTTTTGGAGGTTTTAAACGTCTCGTTGCTTCGTTTCGCGTGGCAGGCGTGGCACTTCGTGACATTCAGGCGTGTTTTGTAACGTGTCGAAAGTCGTTTTATGTGGCAGGCGCAATACTCTAGCGACGTTTTCAGAAGATGCATTGCAGTTTTCGTGGCAGGCGCAGCACTTTGGATGTGTCCATCGTCATTTTGCGTGGCAGGCGCAGCATTTTAGAGGTGCTGTGTTGCGTGTTTTTTGCGAATTGCGTTGGCAGGGCTGCGTCAAGTGGCGACAAGGTGCAGCTTCCGTGGTAGGCGTGGCATTTTGTGAGATGTGCTGAAAATAAGCCTCGCACGAAATGATCAGCAAATTTTCAAGTTCCTGAGAAAACTCGTAGGAAAACGTCGATTTTGATGCTACACAGTGTCAAAATTGGAGGAAGTCTCGCACGAAATGATCGTTTTAGGTGCTCCCACGTGTCTCGTCTGGAGTCTCTGGTTTTCCTGTGGCTTCGCCGTGTCTATGGGGGAAGCTGCAAAACCTGTCCTTTTCGCATGTTTCGAACTGTGAACATTGGCGGAAGTCTGGCACGAAATGCTCGTTTTGGTGCTCCCACGTGTCTCGTCTCGAGTCTCTGGTTTTCCTGTGGCTTCGCCGTGTCTATGGGGGAAGCTGCAAAACCTCTCCTTTTCGAAGGTTTCCAAGCAAGCTGTCATATCGTTTTCCGCAGCAGGCGTGAGATTTGTGACATTCCAACCTGTTTGATATTCTACACTTCACATTCCACACTTTCCACTCCACACTCCACACTCTACAGTTTGCACTTTACATTTTACACTCCACACTTTACACTTTACACTCCACACTCCCCACACTACACTTTCCACTCCACACTCCACGCATTACACTCCACACTCCTCACTTTACACTCCACACTCCACACTCCACACTCTGCACTTTCCACTCCACACTTTACACTTTGCACTCCACACTTTACACTCCACACTTTACACTCCACCCTCTGCACTCCACACTCTACACTCCACACTCCACACTCTACGCTCCACACCCCACACTCCACCACACTCCACCACACTCTACACATTACACAGTCTACACTCCTCACTCCACGCATTACACTCCACACTCCTCACTTTACACTCCACACTCCACACTCCACACTCTGCACTTTCCACTCCACACTCCGCACTCTGCACTCTACACTCCACACTTTACACTTTACACTTCACACTCTGCACGTTCCACTCCACACTCCACACTCTGCACTTTACACTCCACACTTTAAACTTTACACTTTGCACTTTACACTCCTCACTCCACACTTTACACTCCACACTCCACACTTTACACTCCACACTCCACACTCTACACTTTACACTCTACACTCCACACTTTACACTCCACACTCCACACTTTACACTTCACACTCCTCACTCCACACTCTACACTTTACACTCTACACTCCACACTTTGCACTTTACACTCCTCATTCCACACTGTAGAACCCACACTCCACACTCCACTCTCTACACTTGACACCCTACACTCTACACTCCACACTTTACTCTTTACACTCCACGCTTTCCACTTTACACTCCTCACTCCACACTTTACACTCCGCACTCTACACTTTACACTCCACACTCCACACTATTCACTCCACACTTTACCCACTCCACACTTTACACTCCACACTTTACACTCCACACTTTACACTCCACACTCCACACTTTACACTCCACACTTTACACTCCACACTCCTCACTCCCGTCCACATTCCAAACACTCCACACACTACACTCCACACTTTACACTCCCCACTCCACACTCTACACTTTACACTCTACACTTTACACACTACACTCCAGACTCCACACTTTACACTCCACGCTCCACACTTTACACTTCACACTCCTTTACACCCCGCACTCCACACTCCACACTCTACACTTTCCACTTCACACTCCACACTCCACACTCTGCACTTCACACTCCACACTCCACACTCTACACTTTACACTCTACACTCCACACTCCACACTTTACACCACACTCTACACTTTACACACTCCTCACTCCCCACTTTACACTTTGCACTCCTCACTCCACACTCTACACTTTACATTTTTCATTTTTCACTCTTCACTCCACGCTTTACATTTTACACTTGTCACTCCACACTTTACACTCCACATTCCACGCGTCCCACTTTACACTGCACACTCTACATTTTTTTCACTCCTCACTCCACACTTCACACTTTACACTCCACACTCCACACTTCCCACTTTACACTTCACACTCTGCACCCTACACTCTCCACTTTACACTCTACACTTTACACTCCACACTTTACACTTTACACCACACTCTACACTTTACACTGCGCACTCCCCACTCCACACTTTACACTCCTCACTCCACACTCCACACTCTACACTCCACACTCCACACTCTGCACTTTCCACTCCACACTTTACCCACTGCACACTCCACACTCTACACTTTACACTCTACACTTTACACTCTACACTTTACACTCTACACTCCACACTCCACACTCTACACTTTACACACTCTACGCTCCCTATTCCACACTTTACACTCCATACTCTACACTTTACACTCCACACTGCAGACTGGTAACAGGGGAAATATGTACAAGACTGTTCAAATAAACTATTTGAGAAAAGTGTTCTGCGTGACTGCATATCCATGTGTTTCGACATCTGTACCATTAACATACGTGTGAGCATTCGGGTTCGTGGGCTGCATCTTGTTTTCCCCTCCAGCTCTCCTCATAGAAACAGACGATAAAAATGATGATTTGCCAATAGCATGAGGATTTTTCCAGTTTGCAAACACCAGTAGCATGCCTCAGTGCAGGATTTAGAGTCGTCAGACGAGTCCTACATTTTGACCGTTTGCCCTGAAGCCGAGCCCAAGCATTTCCGTGCCCAGAACCAGACGTTCCTTGTGGTAAACCTACCTGGCAATGAGAATTTGTAAAGCCTTTTGAACACGAGAATATGATAATTCATGCTCGTTTTTTTGTAACAATCATGGATGATGAACGATTTTGTCCTTTAAAACACAGGAGTTCTCTGGTTTGTTTACTAAAAGTTAGTAAAAAAACTAGCCAGGCAGCACTGATTGCAATTCCAGTAGCACCTTGTGGTGACGTTGATGCAAAGGACCCACTGGCAGTTTGCACGTGTTTTTCCAGATGAAATGTAGGAATCATCCCCATAGATGGCCGCAAGTTTCATCTTATTTCAGCGGGCGAATTGTGGAGCCAATGGCTGACCACGGCTGACCCACGACATCGAAATATGCGGCAAGGATCGGCAAGGCATAGGAAGTGCATAGATGATGTGTGATTTGCCAGTTCCATAAGTAGAAGGATACACACACACACGCACACATTATGTTTTATAAGATCATCAGAAACTGGAATTTGAATGTATTTAACTAGCCAAATTGGACACTGTATGATTTGCTTGTCAGCTCAGGGGCATGGACTGAACAGCTGAGCTGAGGTGCAGTGCTTGTGTTTCAGCTGCCTGATGATGGGTGGCACAGTTGGGGCGACAGCTTCTTTGCGGGCCTTTTGGACGGAGCATACAAGGGAGCATGTTCACATTTGAATCGCCCCCTCATTGGCGACTTGCGGCAGATCAGCGCCTTTCATGAAATGTGTCTTTGTGTTAGGATGGGTTAGGGATCAAGGGGAGCCCAAGAAATTGCCCCTCTTGAACACCACAATGGTTAAGATGGAAACCTGACTGGAAGTAGGTAAGACTTAGTACGATGGAGGCTTTCGGAAGATGAGTCATGCCTTTTACATGAGTTAGTCTGAACTCTGGGAAAACCATAATTCCAATGGATTAAAGCCTAGCTTTCCTTCTTAAATCTACTTGAACTGGCGATATCCCATATCTGTTGGACGTGAATCCATGGCCTTCCCCATGCCTGGCAGTACCCGTTGGGGTGATCTCTATGGCTTCAAGCTAAAACAAACCAACGTGACAGACGTGTGTCACCATTACCACAGAAACTATAGAAACTATGGTAAAAATGGTAGATATAACTATGGTTTATGCGGCTTATAAACCATTATATTCATTTATTCATGAATTATTTCTACCATAGATACCATAGTGAAATTGGAGATGATGTTTTTTTTGCCATCTCCGATGGAGCTTTATGAGGGTATACTGTACCCCTATCGGATGACATTTATTATGCCCCCCAAATGGTTGGTATGAGACTGGGATGGTTTTATGATTGGGTTTATGACACTAATACAATATGATGTACTGTAAGGATCTGGTTTGAACACTAGCTGATGCTGAACTAGTTACCTGGATGAACAATGATTCTACCATGCAGTTCCTATGCATAATGTTGAACATGGGAGCTAAAACCAATGATCTGATACACATACCCCCCAGTAATGGTGGTTAATGCTGGTACACTGGTGATTTAACCATCAACAATAGTGGTTTTTCGTAGGGATATAGTGAGATATCATTTGATTTAATTTGATGTAGGAATGATATAAGATACCCTCTGGTAATTTAACATAGCTATTGAAAATGACCCAGTCGAAATAGTGGATTTTCCCATTAAAAATTGTGATTTTCCATCAGTTTTTTGTTAACGTTTACCAGAGGGTACAATTACCCTCCAGTAATCATTTTGAGGCTTAGCTGGGAAATCCTGGAGTTCATGGCTACCTATATTTGGAAGATCATCGAACGATCTATGTGGAATTTTCCAGCCATGTTTGATGAAACCTGAGGCTACATGGCTATGGATCAATAGCTGTACCTTCTGGTAAACTAGCAGTTCGCGAAATGGGAAATCACCATCTTTAATAGGTAAATCGACTATAAATGGGTCATCTTCAATAGCAAACTGTTATATTACCAGAGGGTAAACATTATTTTTTAGGAACATGAACATCAGAAAACGATGTTCACCAAGGGTACATGGCTTGACCCATCCCCATAAACATCCCAACTTTCCTGGCCTATCGGCCACCAAGTCATGTGCTTCAGCACTTGTCTTTATTTTCAGATGTGATCTTCCAGATCACTACACAGTAGATAGCAATCCCGAAAAAGTTGGAAAGGATAGATTTTATCTAAATTTACCACAGTTTCAGCATTGCATTTTACTTCTTCACCTTTTTTTTCCACATAAATTGGCACATTTGGCGCCACAGGTGCTCACTACTACCTGATCCTCTCCCTGCGCAACTTCAACCGCGGTTGCCCCCTACTGCCTGCGACGTCGGATCAGACGGATCAGACCGTTACGGTCTCAGCAGGGGAAGAGCTGGGCATGGCGCGATGGCAGGAGTTTCAGAGCCAAAACGCGGATGGGAAGCTTCACTTGGTGCCTGGGATCCGTTAACTTTTCTCGAAGTTTTGGTGGTTCTTTTTTTTTTTAGCCCTTGGCTCAAGCAACCTTCCAGTGGTGGGGCCGTTTCGACAGATAGCTTGAGGAGTGCTTTTGTTTGGTTTTGAACCCCGGTGTTCTCTTTGCTTTCAGGTCCTTGGCTTTTGTGCTCTCAGGTGTTTCTGTCCCCTTATTCGTCTTGTGCCCTTCCTTTGTGATCTCACATCAGGTGCTTGGGTCTTGTGCTGTTCGTGCCTTTTCCGTCTGGCGGCTGTGGCGTTCCGGCCGTGATTCAGGGCGGCGTTGGCTCCTTGCGTTCGCGCCCTTGTGTCTTGCTGTTCAGTTCAGGCTCCCCCGCTGTATCTCTGTGGCGATCTGCCTTCGTCCTTGCCATGGCGCTCCGCGCTGACTCACCTTACGTTGTGATTCCTGTGCCGGACCCATTCTTATGGCATTGGTTTGTGTGGCAGGCATGGATGCCATTTCATTTCGCAATGGCCCTGCATCAGTGCATGCCATGCCCATGTTGTGGATTTCTCGGCAGTGACCGCCCGCAGGCGGGGCACGGGTCTTGTGACGTTCCTGCGGATGGCCCGCGCGTGGAGATTTGTCTGGCTCGTCACCTGCCCTTTTCAGATCAGATATCGCAATCTGCTTCGAGCTCGTCTAGAAAACCTCATGTTCGCACAACAAAGCGGACTCCTTCCCGTGCCCGGGTGGTGGAGGTGCGCACCAAGGAAAGGGGCTTTGATGATGAGTTGCTGGAACACGCTATGAAGGTGTTTGCGCAACAGGCAGGCTTGGAAGATTTGCAGGTTGATTGGAATTCTTCCGGCCTGGGAGCTGTGAAGCATGACATTTGCGACCACAATCTTGTCCTGCCACAGGTCCAAAAGTCGGCATATGCTACTGGTGAACAAGTTGTTCTGAGAGGCCTCAAGACGGCCGGTATGAACGGGCAAACCGGTACAGTAACCACGTGCCTTCGTTCTGGCCGTTACGGTGTGCTTTTGTCGAATGGTGGTCAGGTTGCAATCCGCCCTTGCAACCTCGATGTCCTACCTGACAGCCAAGGCATTGCAATGGCAGACAAGTCAAATGAATGCATTCGCGTTGGTGACCAAGTGCTGCTGACCGGCCTCTCTGATGACAGCCTGAACGGCGTCAAAGGCATCGTTATCCCCAGCCGCACTGCCAATGACAGGTACGGAGTCCGTGTGCACAATGATCGATGTGTTGCAATTCGTGGTTCGAACTTGATCAAGCTGGAGGCCACTGATGTTGGAAAGGCCACCTCGTTGCGCTGGTCCAACGCAACCGCCGTTGGCCAGTAAATTCGTATATTGATTGCATTTGCTGGGTTTTGCCTTCGTGCGGCACGGCCCGCTCTTCATTTTTCACTTTTGATGGTTTGCATTCTCTGGCACGCCCCTGCTCGCTGCCAGCAATTTGCGCCGATTTGCTAGGTATTCTGGTCGCATCTGCTGTCTGGACCCTTGGGCCTTGCAGGCACTTGCGACCCAATTCGCTTTTCCCCGACGCGGGCAGCTGCATTTAATTAATTTGCGGAAAAGGTCTGTACGCTCACGAAATACTCGTCGGCGTGCGCACCGGTCTCACACGTTCGCGTGACTTGAGACGAATGTCCGAGAAGGTGGTTCTTTTTTTTGTTGGATGAGAACTCAAGAAAATTGAGCTTGCTATGTATTTTTGGGAAATGATATGATAATATATGATAATATATGATAATATATGATAATATATGATAATATATGATAATATATGATAAGATAGGATGATATATGATATGATGTATTTTTTTGATTGGAAGTGTTCTGTTTGCTCACCAGCCAATTTTCTATTTGGTGATTTTCGGTGCAACAGCTTCTATGGAGTTCAAAAAGGGCTCTGGCGGAATATCAATGGAATATCACGGAATATTTCTGATGTGAATATCGATGTCCAATGTATATGTGAATATCAATGGAAAGGCCTCTATCTATCAATGGACAATGGGAACAAAACAGGGGATGTCATGGTGTATAAACCGCTGATGATTGATCCCAATTTTGTTTGGTTGTATAACTCCCATTGCTGATGCTTGTGGATAGGTATCATACTAAGGTATACTAAGTTTCCAGGTATACTTTGCATACCCTCAGGCTTCAAACATGGCGTGCTGGAAAATATCCCATTGTGTTCGATGATTTTCCCATCTAGAAACCCTCCAGAAAAATCATGGGGATGTCCCATGATTTTCCCACGTGTTTCCACCGGGGATTTGGGGTTACCCTCTGGTCTGTCACAATTCGACTGGAAAATCACCATCTGTTTTTTTTTTAGGTAAATCATGTGTAAATCAACTATTTCTATGGGCCATGGCTTCAATGTTGCAAACTGTTAAATTACTAGAGGCTATCTCTCACTGATTTGCTACTGTTTTGTCCAACAAATGGCCAATGTCAGAGATGTTCACTTTTTGTATGGGTTCAAGAGGAAAAACGAGAAGCAGGAGTCTTACCCTCTGGTTACATAGCTATGGAACATGGCCCATTTATAGATGATCAAAATGCTGATTTGCCTATTAAAAGTTGTGATTTTTCATAGCTACGTTGACGAACTAAGAAGGTGATGCGGATTTTGGCCTTGGATCACCTTTCTAAGGCCGAATATTTGCAGCTCTTTTTGGAGAGACTTGACCTCTCCCTGAGAATTTACGCCCCTCGGAGAGTCGTTTGTTTTGAGAAGTGGATGTACAGACAATGGCCGTATAACATGGCAGACAACCCCATCTTGATACAAAATCAGAATGTAGGAACATCGAATGATCCGGAATCTTCTTTCGATCTCGGAAAATATTTCGTGTTATCCAGATGTGGGGAAAGCAACCAAGGTTGGTGTTTTATGTTTTAGACTGGCATGAACACCCAAGTGAGCCGTGGGGCTCAAGCCCCTGTTGCTTGAATTTGGTTGATTCTTTGGGGTCATACTCTCCAATATATATATATATATATCGAATATAAATATATAACTAATATATATATATATATTTATATTATGTATATGTATATATGTATATATAATATGTATATATATAGTATATATATAATATATATAATATATATATACATTATATATATATACATAATATATATATATACATAATATATAAATATATATACACATAATATATATACACATAATATATATATACAATATATATATATATTATATACATAATACATATGTAAATATACACATTATATGTATATATACATAATATATAATTATATATATACAATATATATATATATACAAAATATATATATACATAATATATATATATACATAATACATATGTAAATATAAACATAATATGTATATATACATAATATATATATATACATTATATATATATATATACATATATTATATATATATTTACACATTATATATTTATATATACTTAATATATATATATACATAATATATATATACACATAATATATATATACATTAAATATATATACATTATATATATATACATAATATATATTCATAATATATATATATATATGTATATGTATATATACATAATATATATATATTTACATAATATATATATATACATAATATATATATACATAATATATATATACATAATATATATATATACATAATATATATATACACATAATATATATATATACATAATATATATATATACATAATATATGCATATACATAATATATGTATATACATAATATATATATATATATACATAGTATATATATATATACATAATATATATATATACATAGTATATATGTATATATATATACATTGCAGGCAGTAGGGGGGCATGAATTTTCACCGGCCCGCATAGCACCGCATAGCACCGCATAGCACCGCATAGCACCGCATAGCACCGCATAGCACCGCATAGCACCGCATAGCCCCGCATAGCCCCGCATAGCTGCATTGACTATGCACGTCATAGCCAAAGGCTTTGTGGGTTGAATGAAGGCACTAGATATTCCCAACCCTTTTTTTGGCCACAGCCATGGCCATGAGCCGAATGGCTTTGGTGCTGGCAGATTCCACTGCGCATGGTTTCAGAGATGTCGGTATCTACGGATCAAAGCAGGTGTATATTGTTTGCTGTGGAGGCAGCCTGCTCCTCGGACGCAGAGGTCATGAACGATCTGCAATATTACAGCAATTGGTGTGCCAGTGGCAGTTTGTCCAAGAGCAGCTTGGTGGCTGCTCTCTTTCCTCTCCCGTTCAAATGTGTGCCATTCCCGGTCGAGATTCCGTAGCTCAAGAAGGTTACGACGAACTGGGAGCGCTCAGGGACCATTTCCAGATTGCAGAAGGGCAAAAGACCATCAACAGCTACGGCTGCGAAATTGATGGCTGGGAATTGTACGGAAAAAGAGAGGGGGGAAAAAACTACATTTTCAAGGTAGCAGACCAAGAGCTAGGCAGATCATGGAGCGCATTGCGCAGGATGCTATGTTGGAGACAGAGATGGAGGAAGGGAAGCTGTCGGTGGTAGTTTGCGCAGGGTGGAGCACCTTAAGTCAGACTGTGATTTGCTACCAAGAGCTCCAATGCTTGAAAAAGCACTTTCAAAATGCGCAACAGTGGCTGAGTTCTTGCAGGTGTCGGTTGCTTTCAGCGGGTTGCCCCTGCTGAGCTTCTCTGAGTTGTGGCTCCATGGAAAAACCACCCAAGCCCTGCAGTGGTTGCCTCGGAGGCGCATGGAGTACCTGTGTCGTTGATGTTGGAAGATGGTCATGTTGCGAGAACCAGGGAGGATACGAAAACTTTCTAAATTCACCAATTTGATTGACTCAACAGTTCGCCAACCTCACTGACTCACTGACTCACTGACTCGCTGACTCACTCACTCACTCACTCACGCACGCACGCACGCACGCACGCACTCACTCACTCACTCCTTGCCTCCCCCTTCATTCCTTCATTCCCTCGCTCCTTCCTTCCCATCCTCCCTCCCTCTCACTTCCCCTCACTCACTCGTGCTCCTTCCCTCTCACTCCCTCACTCTTCCTCACTCATCCTGACAAGCCCTGCTTTATGAATGTTAAAGTATGTCAGAATAGATATCGGCTAAGATGTCAAATAAACAGTCAATTCGTAGATAAATCTTCCCATAAATGTTTGAGGAAAGGAGGGATCAAAAGTCAATAATATGTGAAAAGTACTGTCACATAGTATGTCAATCCTTCTTGTCAGAAAGACGTTACTAGAGTGCTAAACTACGCGCCAAATAATATGCCAGAATATAGTTACGGCGGGGATCACTCGGTCATACTTATTTCCTAGGTCTTACAGCAAAATCTCTATCTGTAGCCTCAACCCCGTTGTCCTTGCCCTGTCTTCGTCAGGCTTCTCCAAACCTACTCCGCAGAACACCTGGAGGCCGCGCTGAACAAGGCCAAACTGGCATCTGGATTCGAAAGAGATCTCTTCGTTGATCAGGAGTGTCGCAAATTTCTGGAATCCGAGAGTTGCCTCAGCGCGGTCCACAACTGGGATACATATCGCAAACCTGCACACCGGGCAGGCCTTTTCAGGTACTGTGCAATGCTTGTCCGAGGAGGCGTTTACCTTGATATAAAGTGCTGCATCCTGACGGACCTGGAGTCTCTGCTCATGGCAAGCAACGGGAGCTTGATTTGCTGACTGGTTGTGTAAATACCCCCTTCATGGTTTCAGCCATTGGTGCAAAGCGTGATCACATCTTCCAGGGAGTTCTGATCCTACCGCAATTTCACCCCCCGAAATTTGCTTTGTTGGCTCACCTTTGTCAGTATGCAACAGTTGCTTGACTTGAGTCTTGCTATATAGTGGTTTCAGAAAGTCAATCAAAGAACCATTTGATCCGCGCTTTCAATCTTGAACATCAAACTCAGGATTCTCTTTTTTTGTGGCAACGGCGAATGATTTCCCTTTACAGCTGCACCTAGATTTTGCTTTGATGCAGCCACTCTCAGGATGATGACTGAACAGAGAGTCTATACTTCTTCCCGCCGAGCCGCTACCTGTCAGTCGCTCAGCACATCCAATGAGAGGGTATAGAACAGTGAAATCAGTGTCAGGTTTTTGTTGTTGCCCCCAGAGCCAGCTCGTTGTATCGATCAGATGCCAGATGCTAATGTTTGTCAATTTCTGTGGCCCAGGCGCGGGCCTACAGGCGAAGTTTGGACAGTGCTTGGAAAATCTTTTCGCCGCCGAGCGTCAGCCAATTGCAGAATTGTGCCACCCATTCACCATGCCAGCTTGACCATCATCTAGAGATTTCAGTTTGACCGAGTTGCTGTGCCAAGAGCACTGGATGTGTTTGACTATCTACCAGTTACGCATTTGATTGCATGCCCCAGAAATTCATCCCATGTCATTATCACATTTCGTCAATTCCACATACAGCCAAAAATGACAATCATAGCCCCGCATAGCCCCGCATAGCACGGCATAGCCCCGCATAGCACGGCATAGCCCCGCATAACCCCGCATAGCACCGCAAGGCGCAATACGAAGATACATGGCGCTACGCAGCGCTACGCAGCGCTACGCAGCGCTACGCAGGCCTCAAAAATTTTGACCCCCCTGTTGCCAACACTGTATATATACATTATATTTATATATACACATAATTTATATATATATATACATAATATATATATACACATAATATATATATATGCACATAATATATATATATATATATATGTATTTACATAATATATATACACACATAATATAAATATATATATATATACATAATATACATATATATACATAATATATATATACATAATATATATATGCATAATGTATTTATATATACACATTATATATATACACATAATATATATTTATATATACATACACAATATATACATAATATGTATATATATATATACATAATTACATAATATATATATATATACATTATATATATATACGTATACACATAATATATATATATATATATACGTATTAACATTATGTATATATATATACATAATATATATACACATAATGTATATATATATACACACATAATGTATATATAATATAATATAACGTATATATAATATATACATTATATTTATACATTATATATATTTATATATGCACATAATATCTCTCTCTATATATATATATATATTTACATTATGTATATATGTACATAATTACATATATCATATATATATATATATATTGATGGGATTTGTTGGGGATGATCACAGTGAATTGGGACATCCGTTCGGATCGGGACTTTCCAGGGCATCGAAGTCCCATGATGTCCCCATTCGCAGAGCTTCAACATCAACGTTGCATTGTTTTTCAGGTGATGTTCACAGAGGATATATGGATAGGAAACCTTGAAACTAACATCAATTGACCAATCACAAAAACCAGGGACAATTAACCCAGCATACCACCCTTTCTTGCTGGTTGGTCTCTTAGATGTCTTATTTTTCAACATGTCACCGGATGATGACCCGAGGAAAGCTGGGGCGGCCAACAACTGGTTCCGTATCAATGTGTTGTTCTGCGCGAGGAATGGAAGGAAATCAGAAGTTCCTTGGTAGCACCGAACATCCACTGGGTTACCCTCTGGTCTGTCACAATTCGACTGGAAAATCACCATCTGTTTTTTAACGTAAATCATGGTAAACCAACTATTTCTATGGGCCATGGCTTCAATGTCGCAAACTGTTAAATTACCCGAGGGTATCTCTCACTGATTTGCTACTGTACTGTTTTGTCCAACAAATGGCCGGTGTCAGAGATGTTCACTTTTTGTATGGGTTCAAAAGAGGAAAAACGAGAAACAATATGGGCACCATCACAATTGTGCTTCATAGTGATTCCATCA